CCAGGGTTTGGCTCGCAATCTCCATCGAGATTGCGGCGACGAGGGGATGATCGCGAGACCGATTCCGTGCCCAGACTTGCGGCAGCGAAATGCCAACTTGTCGCACGACAAATATTCCCGAATGCCGATAATATGTCGAAAGACGTAGGGAAATGAGGAACCATTGGCGAATCCACCTCCCGACTCGCGATTTCGATATTAAAAATTGACCCAGATGAGGAATCCCTCCCCGGGGACGCGACGCGGGGAGACGCCGCCATTTTTCCGAGGTATCTCTCCCTTCCTCGGCGATTATGCAAAAACACGGGAATACGCCCTGACGAGGGGCGGCGAATTTCGGAATTCGTCTAGACGGTCCGATAAAAAGCCCTAATGGCCGGATTGGCCAATTCCGCGCGTAATTCCGCGAGCATCGATCGACGATTCCTCGGGTTAAGGGAGGCCCCAGAAGACTAGGAGAGACTTTTTCCCGCAGGAAATCGAGCGACTTGGAAATATGATATAATGAAAAAAAAAAAAAAAATAGTCGATAATGTCTTCTCCACCGTCATTTCGATTGATCGAAGTTTCCAACATTTGCGTACGAGCGATTACGTTAATCGACGTCCCGCTAAACAGGGAATTCAGAAACGCAGGGCGAAAAAGCTTTCGGCGCTATTAAATCGCCAACAAACGACTAATGTCGTTTGCCGAAGCGCAGCGAATCGAGGGAGGGTCGCGATATCGATTCTTTAAGCACTTTGAAGTTTCATTAACCAATCAGGAGGAGCGATCGGGCTCCGATAAACTCCGCAACTTCTATCGGCTCCTATCACCCGGATTCCCGTCACGAGGCTCGACTACTTAACCTTATCGAAATTTTGCATCGATTTAACAGACGACATATATATATTTTTTTAAATTTAATTTCTATTCGCGAGTATCTCGGCATTTTGGAAAAATGACTATAAATGTCCAACGCGGGTTTTTGACATCCCCAGGCAATTTTAGAGGGGAAAAAAAAAATTTTTTTTTCCCCCTCTATTCGCGAGTATTTATCAAAAATGATTAGGGAACGTATTGATATGAAATTCCTGAAAAATGGACGTAGATCCTTGAAAAGGAACTCGGACGTTCCGGGGAATTCAGGTCCATTTCGAAACAAGCAGGAAGGCATTAAAAGCCGACGGGGGAGGAGAAGTAGAACGAGTTTCTCGAAACGCGAGTACACGAGGAATACGGGAGGATCCGGAAGTCACGGTTTCCCCGGAAACCGCGCTTTTACGGGAACGGTCCCCGGGGTATCTCTTTCCCGGTTCCCTCGAGTTCCTGTCCTTCGGTCCCTCGCGAATCTATCGATTCGCCATCTCGCAGTTTCATTCACGAGTGCCCGATACGAGGGCTGCAAGGAATCGGGAAGAACGAGAAAAGAGGAGGGAAGAAGAAAAAAAAAAATCCGAAACCAGGACAGAATGCCGATTATACGCGTATATCCATCACCGTCCCCCTCCGTCCCCCTCGGGGCATCCCTTAAGGCGGGGGTTGTGTGGACGTGCACGAGGGGAGGTTCATTCATCGGGATTAAATGACGAGAGTACTCGTGGATTCGTGATCGGATGAGCAGGATCGTTGAAAGGAATTCCGAATTTTTCCACGGAAAGGGTGAACTTTTTCTTTTTTTTTTTAAAGGGTAACTCTCTATAGGGATTTCTCGTCCTGGTAAAAAATTACCAATGTACAGGGGCGGACATGAACGTCGTCCTATCGTGCCCTGGCAACGCTATATCTCCAGGGAAGACATTTATGTCCATCGGGGTACTTCTCCTGAAAGCGGCAAGGGTGGTTCCCACCCTTCACACAGTGACACCGCGATGTTCAAGAAGAGGGTTGCCTCCCGACTTTTTCCCTCGCCCCTCGAGTCCAGGCCGCGTTAAAACAGCGGGACGCGTCGCCGCGGAATTTACCGCATTTGATTTTCACGCAGAAGAGAGGGGCGGAAGGGGAGTCGAGGGTGCAAAACAATGCGCCGCACCCGGCGCCGCAGCGGCATGCATAAAATACGAGCGCGGGGTGCAGTGTCCTCGAAAAAGGAGTACAAGTAGGGAATAAAAAGGGAACTTGTCTAATTTCAAACCCCGGAAGGGGGTGAGCCACCCTCGGCCAAGGAAAACGCGAAAAACTCCGCGGTTTCCCCCTGACCAGGTGAAATCAGAACCGGAGATATCGAGACTCCACCCCCCGAGGAAAAAATATTTCCATCTCGAAAAGGGAGGGTTTTTTGGCAAGGGTCCACATAATCTTTTTCCATCCCCAAGGTTTGCAGAATACCCCCAAAAATCCCCGACTCGATCAAACGGCGCGTTAATCGGTCAGGTTACGGTGTAACCGGGGGCTGGTTATTTCGCGATTTCCGGGGCGAGATCGGGGGTGAAATTCGGTCCTTGGCCTCGAAGCGAGTCGATGTTCTTCGCTTACTTTCTTTCCCCTGTTTTCGGGGCGCAGGACGAGCGGGTTAACGATAATCGCAGGGGAGGATTCCGTTTCGCGTTACGCCGAGGATATCGTAACGACGTCGGCCACGAAGTGGCACTCGCGTTTCCCGCCCTTGCGGAGGCGCCCCGACGCCTGTGCCCCCTTCCGCCCTATATCCTCGATATCCTCCACGTCCTCGACATCCTCGACAACTTCGACGACCTCGGCGAGTACCGGCTCCCTGGCTACCCCCGATTACGGGGGCGTTTAGGGGCGCGTCGATGCGGAGGGTGGGTCGAGTGTCGTAGGAAAATATTGGATTTATGGAGATCATATTTACGGACGGGCGTTTCGATTTTATTCGGCGCTTCCGCCCGATCGATCAGAAAACTCCCGATGCCGAGGGGTTCGCCGAACCCCAAACGGATCAGTTCGAGAAGGGGCGTTTTTAAGACCGACTCCGTGGACGTACGTGGACGTCCGTGCATTGACGGAAGTAACGATTTCCTGGATTGATATCGGGAATCGGACATTAGGGTGTTTTTCCGTCCAGACAAATTTTGAGGACCCTTCCGGCAAGGGGGGTGGTGGAGGAGCGTCTCAGGCGAGGACCGTCTTAGGGGATGCAAGGACGAGACGGATGCTCGGAGGGGTCGACGAGCTTCGCGGATTCGGCGGAATGTGGGTCAGGGAGGTCCGAGGAAAACAAACCCTCTCGCTGGTACAAGGGGTGCAAGAAAAGCAATAATACTCGTACAACCGGCGGGGATAAATACCGACGTGCGTGGGCGTACTTAATATCGCGCGAGCTGGGATGGGCGCGTCCGAAACCGCGTCCTGAATCCTCAAAAGAACGAGCGCCGAATTAGAAGGGGGAAAAAAAAAATATACCTCCTGTATACAAAAAAAAAAAAAAAAGATACATAAATTCTCTACATATTAGGCTGAGAAGTTAATTTCCCCCATTTTAATTATGTCCCCTTTTTCAGGGGCGAAGTTACACCTGCCACCGTTCCGGAAGTCTCGGTAAAAAGTTCCGCCGAAGAGTTTCGACCAGGAGGAATATTTAAAAAGTATTACAAAAGCTGTATGTATATATATATAAATATATGCGAGCGTTACAGGGGGCTCGCAAATGAGTACATCGTCGGCGGCATCCCTTAGGGAGCGACACGCCGGGAAATAATTAATTAATCGGCTAAACCCCCTTTCGCTCGTCCGACGACGCGTCGGGGGTGGTTCGCTCGCTCGTCCACCTGCAGGTGAGGGTCAACGCTTGGAATCGAATTAATCGGGCCCCGTAAAATCGAGCACCTCCACCCCGGCCCCCCGAAGGAGCCTCGTCCGAGGTATCGACTCGCGACTGGAATTCGTTTTGTGCTGAAAGTCGCGGTGCGGTCGTTAACGCGGCGATAACTGCGGCGGCGCAAACGAGCCCGCGGGGGGTCAACCTTCCGAGGACGCGTGTACGTACGATATACAACACGAGCGGCATCCCCCATAAACGTCGGCATCGAGGGTTCCTTTCTACCAGGTGTCCCGAAAAGTGCACCACCCTCTGCATCCCCCCATCACCCTGGACAGTCGACCGTCGGGAAAAAATGCGGCGGAATCACGACGAGGAATCTTCCTTCGAGGAACGATAAACCCTGAAAGGGTGCCTCCGGAATTTTTATCCAGAATCGTCTTCCCCGTATCGGGATAAGAAAAAAAAAAAAGAAAATAGATCCGTGTTGCTTCCCCGGAGGGATTATTTATTTCCGACGGATTTTCGGTTTTTGCTAACAATTCATTCGGGAATTTCCAGGGTCGCGTCTAGGGGTTGTTTCCCTACAATTGCAAGGCGGGGCAATTATCGCCGTTCATTGTTAAGAGGGCAAACGTCCTCTTTGAAGAGGGAGTGGAGGCGTTATCAGAGAAGTCGGGCGATATCGAAACCGTCGATTCTTCGGGGGCGGGTTTCCCCTCGTGGTGGCAGGGGATGCAGGGATTTCACTTTAATCCCCCGCCGGTCGGGGATGGTCGGGAACGCGAGGGAGGGTTATCGGTCGTTAAGGCCGCCGGGGGTAGTTTTCGGTCTTTGTTTATCCGCGGGATGCGCCATTGTCGTTTATTTACCGGGGGTGGCGGGGGTTATCGCTCGTTAAGGTCGACCCCGGGGGGTCCCTCGGTCGCGTCCTCGATACGTCAACGCGACGCGTCACGGTCGCGGTCGGGCCACCCCCGGGTTCCGGGGGAATAAATTATCAACGTCGCGGACCGAATCGTCGGGAGGACGGATAAGGGAAGCGACGCGATACGAATGGGTCGTTCCATGTATAAAACTTATCTCCAGACTGGGTGCATCGAATCATTCGAGACTTCCTCGAGGGATGACCGAGGCCCGAAGGAGGAGCGCGACGACGTGGGGAGTTTTGAAGAATTCGATGCCTCCAGGTCGGAGAAAGTGAATGATTTCCACGTCAGACGTATGGGAGGACCTTAATACGTTCATACGCGTCCATGCTCCCGGGGGAATGCGTTCGGTAGAGCGGGTGCCCCTCGCTCACCTTGCAGTGGGTGCAGTTGTGGATGACCGAGTAGGACTGGGCGCAGTCGTACCGCGCCAGAACCTCCTCGAACTCGCAGTGGAGCCTGGCGGCGAGGGCGTCGACTCGCAGCAACTTATCCAAGGCCTCGGTGCACTCGCGGCCGCCGTTGAGAACGTCCTCCAGGGGTCCGGCCCCGCCGGGGGCGAGGGCGTGGAGGACGGCGTGCTCGCAGCAGTGCCGGAGCCGCAAGCCGGCGACGCGCCGGAAGCGCTCCTCCCTCAGGGATAAAAAACTCGGCCGAGAGTCCCGACCGAGGTCGTCCCGGCAGATATCCTCCTTGTGCGACTCCGCGAGGTAATAAAGGCACTGTTCCGGAGCCGTGCGCCCGCCAAGACCGTGACTCCCGGGGGTCGCGACCCGGCCGGCGACCTCGAGGAAGACGTCGCCGCCGCTGTCCCGCTCGCTTGGCTCGCAGGGCACTGGACAGTTCTTGGGCACTTCGGGCGGCCCGCAGCTCCCCTGCAGGTCGGCCGGCGCTGGGCCCGCCAGGTCGCAGGCCGACAGCCAAGGGTTGATCCGGTTCACCTCCCAGGCGTATTCGTTGTAAGGGTGCACCCTGGAGTCCGCGCGGCGCTGGCGACCGGGGCCGGAGGCGGCGCAGAGGCCGGGCAGCGCCAGGAGGCAGAGGGCGGCCAGGAGGCCCCTGGGCCGCGCTCGAGCAGGGTGGGGCGGGCGGCACGACCGGCACGACCGGCACGACCGGCACGACCGGCACGTGGTCCGGCGACCGGAGGCAGGGTGGGCGGCGCCCTCGTCGTCCCGCGCCCTGGCCGGTGGTCCCGTGGAGCGGGGCGGCTCGAGTCGCATGGGCGCGAGATCGGGGACGCTAGCGTCCCCACCGCGTGGCCGCCGCTCCGGGGGGCACCCCGGCGACCAGGGGCGCGTCCTTCGACCCGGGTCGGAGTCGGCCGCAGCTGCTGCAGGAGTCGCCGCCGCCGCCGCCGCGCGGGGCCCTGCATCGCCGCCGGTCGGGCCGCGCCCCTCGCGACCGCTCCCGCCGTCGCGGCGCCGGGGGGCGAGGGCGGCCCCGCGTGCCGGCAGGGCCCTTAGAAGTCCGCCCTGGCGGCCGCCGGGCTCTGGCGCGGCCGGCGGCGCCGCCGCCGGCGACCCTCGCCGCGGGCCGGGCCCCGAGGGCCCTGGGGACCCCGTGGCCCCGGGGCGGCCGAAAGCACCTGGTCGACGACGACGACGTAGGACCCCCGTCGAGGCTCGCGAGCTCCCAGGCCGCCGGGGCGCCGTGGTTCATGCTGCATCATGAGCGGCAAGCCCCGATGCTCCTCCGCCGCCCGCCCGCGCCCCGAGCCGCCCGACACACCCCGCTCCGCCCCCGGGCGGGTTGGTCGGACCCGACTCCCGGGGAACGCGCCGACCCCGGCTAGGCCGGGCCCGCTCCTCCGCCGCCTCCTGGGCCGGGCGCTCGCGTCATTCCGCCATGGCGGGCCGCTCCCGCTCCGCTCGCTCCCTCGCTCCCGCGACGACGACCGCGACGACGACCGCGACGACGACCACGACCGCGACCGCGACCACCCGAGTCCCACTCGGCACCTCCTCGAGCGTCTCGTCACCGGAGGAAAACTCCCCGGCGGTCTTCCGCGCGCGCGAGTCTCCCCGAGTACGGCCGGACGTTTCTACGTTCCGCCACGGTGGAGGACGGACGTCGCGAGGTCCGCCATCTTGGTTTTGCCGCTCCCCGCCCGGGCGACCCGACGCCTCCTACCCTGCACCACCGCGCGGGCGCGATTCCCCCGCCCGGCGAGCCGGCGACGGGGGAGATTCCTCGCGGGACGCGACCGTCGGTCCCCGACAAGGAGCGCCTCGTCCACCTCTCGATTCCGTCTACCGGGAGACCACCCCAGGGCCACGCGGCGTCCCTTGCGGTGGCCATGGGACTCGCTTCGAAATATCTATCCATGCGTATCAATTTCGGTCCATATCGCGGGAGCGGCAACTCGCGGGCGGAGGTTCCGTCGCGTCTCAGAGTCTCGGATACTCCGGGCCGGGGATGAGAGTCGCTGACGAGCGGTTTTAAATCTCCCGCCCCGAGCACGTGCGTGGCCTGCGCGCGCTCGTGGCGCCGCCTGGCGGCCGCCGCCGTCCCGCACCCTCTCGCGCGTTGCGTGCGAGCGTTTTCGGGGTGGGAATGAGGTGCGCGCATGACCGTCGGCGCGGATGGAAATTTTCGCGAATCGATAATTTGCGAGCAGCTGCAGCAGCGGGTTAGTCACGCGGCCTGCCTATCTCCTCGCCTCATGCCGAGTCGGCACCGAGACCACCCTCCACCGTCTCCCGATACCTCGCTCCGCTTGTTTTCAAATTGGTCCTACGCCGGGACCGCGGACTCCGCTCCGAATTATTCTATACATATTCTATACATATTCTATACATATTCTGTACACGTGCATAAGCACCTCGCAGTACGCGCGCCACCAGGCCCGACCGATAGCCCCGGAGATCGGCGCCGAAATACTTCAAAGAGATGCCGACCGGATATATCCGCGATGACCGAGAGGCGATTTCAAAAACCCCGAACCCTGCGATTACGTACACGTACCCTTCATACCTATGAACGCCCTGGAAGGGGATTTCATTTCCCGAGTACCCAACCCAAGATGGCCGACCATCCGCGGCGGCACTTCCCGTGTATCATTTACACGCATCCCTAACGAGGCTCGATTCTCGATTAATAAACTTCTCCCCTGTAAAGTTCTTTTCTCTTTCGACGCGATCGACGGACAATTTTTTAACACGCCTCCACGTGCAATCAAATGTGCGTATTGTTGCGTCGTCGGCGGCGCCCTAGGTGCGCTTCTTGAAATATTTCGGCGCCGCTAAAATTGGACTCTTTCGCGAGGCTCGGCCACCGTGAGTGTATCGATGCTATAGATGCCCGGGGAAACGGGGTTGCCGACGTCGAGGGTCGGGTCGACGAGGTTCCTCCGATGGTCGGGGCCGATGCCGCCCTCGGAGGAGTTACGCCTCCCAGGCGTCGGAGCGGCATTGTGTCGTCACGTGCGCCCACTCCTCGGCCACGGGAACGGCAACCCGGGATTACCTCGTCGAGTCTAACACGGCTAAGTGTCCACCTCTAGAATCCATGGGTCTCGAGCCGACACCGTTTTCCGCCTCCTCCTCTACCAAGGGAGAGGAAATCGGTATCACCCGAGATAACGCAAACTCCTTTCTCTAACTACCTTTAGCCCTCTGAGCCATTTCGACATACGGCCGAAATTCCCCTGACCGTGCATGGAATATTGGACCAAACGTCGGGCGCCTTTCGCCGTCTTATGAGCCGAAGGGTTGAACCCAATTTATCGAAGAATGAGATCTACCAATTTTGCGGGAAAAAAAGCTGGGAAACCTGAAAACGCACAATTCGGCATCGGCATTTTTTTTTTCTATTCCCATGCGGATAGATACGCAGGAAAAAATTCCACATCGGGGCGAAGACGCGTCAAGGTTTGAAGTTCGTATACGGAGGTGTTAATTTTATGTGAACGTTGATCGGGTTCCAGCGAGGGAGGGTCGCACTTTTAATGGACAATTGTCCATTACGTGTCGACAATTCGGAGGCGGTCGCAGACGCACTTTCCTCTCGGTGTATGCATACGCGGTTTCTTGCGGGGATGCGATACACCTAACGAGGGTGGAATCGATCCGTCGGGGTTCACCGGCCACGATCGCTGTCGCCGTTAAACGGACAACGAAGGACGGCGTTAACTGGTGCTCGTTTCGGGACAATCCATGCCTGGTTACGGGTTACGAGGCATTAAAACTCCCCAGGAAGTATCAATCAAGTTTCGCGGCTCAGCCATGGTGCCGGACGCCTCGCGTTATGGTTGCTCGGTAGACTAGCGTATGGTGTGCCTTCCCGCGGAACAAAAGGTCCGTCCAGAGGCGTAACTCGCAAGAGTAACAATCGGTACCAGCTTTCGAATGGTATTTCGCCTCGTTTACAGTTTACTCCAGTACATCTAACCCATCGACGATAACGACGCTACCCGCTACAAAAGTGTACTCGACCACCGAGTCACGTAACGTGTACGAGTACATGGAATACATCGAATAACATGCGTGAATGGCGTGCGGGGTACAATACGTTTAGAACAATTGCAGAAGAGGGTCACGTAACGTAATGGTCGCGAGGATAGGATAAACTAGAGTATTTTTATGAGTCCAACTATTCTAGGATTAGGTGCCTCTTCTGTCCACTGCTCGTAGAGGCAGCCTTAGTTCAGCCTTATTAGTTGCTTAGGCAACGATGACGTCTTCTCGCGAGTAATCCCCGAAAATGGATCTCCGGTCATTTTGCCTTTGTTCCTTTATGAATATTCCCTTAATTCCGAATGACGGACGATTTGATTGAGCCGATCAACGGCAATCGTTTGTAACAATGCCGCAAGGAGGGCCTCCGTCTTGCAACGTAACCGTAGTTGCGTAAGTCAGGGGTTCCTAATTCGTATCGAGGTGCGCTCCGAAAGGGATTCCCTAGGGTGTGGAACCACCTGCGACGCTTCCCAAGGATATTCCATGGGACTCCCCTTCGACTTCTGCGGTGGAAGTCATTTTTTGCCGCCCCTTTGCCAAGCGCGAGGTTCCGTTTATCGAGTTCCTCTTCCTCGTAGGTTGTATCCTATCGAGGTACGTTTCCCGCTGCAATGCCTCGAACAATGCCGGGGACCCTCGAGTACGTCGTGGATATCCCTTATCCTCTAGAATGCGCAGCTCGTGGTGTAAAGTCGATGGCGTGATCCCATCCCAACGCGCGTCGTCCGTGTGTTCCAAATCCGGGAGGTCCGGGTTCCACTTCCGAGTTCCGGTCCTCTTTGTCCCGCTTCTGGCTCAATGTCGAGTCCACTCGATCCTCCCTCTCTCTCTTCCTCTCCTGGCAAGTTCCCGGCAGTCTCTCAAGGGCCGATCGGCCGAACCGGATCGAACGACTTGTCTCCCATCTCGAGCGAACGACCCTAGCGCCTCTCGGCGGCTTCACCGGTGACTATTCGGACCGTTCTTCGTTCCCTTGAAAAAATGCCCAAATTACCCGCTAATTCCTTTACCGAAATCATTCCTCATTACGGCTTATTCTTATTTTTATTATCATGCCTTATTCCGTCCGTTCCATTTTTATACTCGCTTATTGCGTCCGCTTCCAATCATCTCCGCTCCCCCTAACCGTGTTTTTGCGCGTTTGCGCTTCCTTGAAGGTTATCGAGAGTAATTAGGTCTTAAGAAACTCCCGGAACCCCGTTACTTGATTTTCCAGGAATTGATCTGGCGGGACTAATAACCCTTCCGCAAAGACAACGCGGTTACGAAACCTCCCAAGGACCTGGTCCAGTCGAATGGTTTCGCGCCGCGACGCGAGCGTCCCTGTCGCCTCTTTCGCGAACTAACGGGCCGCTCGGAGGGCGAAAATTCACGAGGCTCCATGGAAGTGAAATTGAACGCTGCTTATAACGCGACGCGATTCGTCCTTTATGGCCGGCCATCAATGGCCTCGAGCACTTCTGTCCTGGACCATTCCTATTCGAGGCGCATTTAAAAATCGGCCGCGAGAACAAAGCGCCGTCGTTCGCTCCTTTCCGGTACGTTCCCGGATTCCAGGCGTTTAACAACCCGGATGAGAAAGACCCTTTCACCTGGATTTTAATTGGGGAAAGGAGGCATGCCATTTGCTCTTTTGCGGACCGTGCGGTTACTCGGATGCAGATTTCTCCCCGTACGAGTCCTTTCGGAACTGGACGAATATCCGACTCCGAAAGAAACCGTGACACCTCTCTGGCGGAATGAAAAATATAAATACAGTTTATTTTTATTCGGGACGTATACTATCTAAAATAAATGCTAGACAATTATAGCGATAGAGCGGTAATAAGATGATTGGGAACGGAACGTCCGTAATTGGAGGATAAATATTAGTTTTGGTACATGTACAATTCGCAAACGGGTTCTGCCGCGTCGACTATTTACATAGCTTTTTACAACTCTGCTTACAAATTGATCGTCTTTTAACTGCAAGTCCCGACTATTGCCAGAGATCCCTCTCTCGCGTGATGACGATCTTTAGTAAAAAAGTCCTACAGCAGAATACACTTCGGGTGGCAAAAATCAGGCGAGGTGGAAAATCCAGGTTTTCGTATGTAGTTGACACTCAGGCCTAGCAACCTTTCTTTTCGTTTTTCTTTTTAACACCTAGAGAGACTGGAGATTCATCGTCCGGTGTATTAAAGCCTTAAATGGGACTGTATAAATAATCTTTACTGGATCATTATACTCTGAAACAAATCTTATAACAGTTTACAGAAATAATCGATATATTCAACACACTACCAAGGTCCGATTTCATTTTGGCCATTGTATCGGGATTAATTTGCCCGTAACAATGGCTACCCGTTGAGAGGAAATATCGGAAGTCACTCCTCTTCCGTCGCGAAATAAATTCCAATTACAAGAATATGATTTTTCCATCCATCGCAGCACTAACTAGAAACGGATGTACCGATAAATATCGAAGGACGGAAATTCTTTCGGGGACCGCAATCCCGGTAGATCAACGTATCAAATGAATAGAAAAGGAACTCTCCGAAAGAAATTCCGTCACAGCCAATTCGCTTCGTAACTCGTCACCTAAGATTTCTCCGGGACCACTTACCTCTCGTTATCTATTGTCAGAAATACCGATACTCTATTACCGATTAAAGAGACAAATCTCAGATGCTTAAGTAAAAAAAAAAATTACAAAGGAGCACAGCCTTATCGCGACAGTTTTCATCGAAAGTCATCGAGAAGAACGGCCCTCGCAAAATTGAGGTACGCAAAGGTGCAGGGTAACAGGTGATCATCTGTCAGGTCGAGGAACAAATTCCCATTGTTTTAATACGTTGTAATACGTACGCAGACGTTACGTTAAAAACGGTGGGAATTTGTCCCTCGAGCTAATATTTCGAGGTACGTAACTAAAACTCGCATCGGTTGGACCTTAGAGCTTATCAACCGCACCCTTTAACAAAACCGGGTATGTTAGTAGAGTTTATGCGCTGGAGACAATATGTAAACGTAATAACCTTTAATGAGAGCCTTACATCTACAGAGACTCAACTCGGTCAAACAAACGTCTCGGGCAGGAGACTCTTCGCTTAATCCTAGGAGACTTCAATTAATCCCTAACTCTACGTCCTGCATCGAAAGGAATTATCGCGTTCGGTTCTCCGAGTGATAGTAACGAGTAATATTTACAGATTCTCCGACCCCGTCGCGGTCAATTGAATTTGCAATCGAGGCCAATGTCGTTTCGCGATTCCGTCAAGAAAAAGAAAAAAAAAGAAAAAGAAAAACCTCGCGACCGAGTCCACTCCACCCACGTGGTTAGATTCCGAAGCGTAAAAAAATTGATTGAGTAAAACCTACGAATCCTACGCGAGGATCGATCGCAAACGATGGACTGATGACCCCGGGAGTCGACCTAGTCGGGAACGAGGTCACCTCGAAACTGGCAGAAAGCGGAGAGCATTATCTGGCCCTTACGTCATTAATGGAACCTCCGATGGATCTTAGAGTACCATTAGAGGTCCGGTCGATTTAAATAAACTATCAAATCCCTCCCAAAGAAACGTGACCGTCGCGCAATCGGTGGAAACTGTGTACGCCGTATGTAACTCCGAAGCTTGGGAACTGCGTATCGTTTCACACAATGCCACGGAGAAACACCCGGGGCCGATAACGCGGCTGCGAGCAGTCGCGGACAATATACGTACACAGCTGATAGTGTTAAACATTTTCGGATAACGTTGAATGGTGTACAAGTCCCACACAAGGGAGCCGAGATTGGGGAGAATCGTCAGAAAATCTGTACAGACGGCGACGCCATTTCAACGCAACGACGCTTTGGCGTTTACCACTCGTTTAATCGGCCGTATCAAAAAGTCTTCCAAGTCTTAAGCGATAACTACACGCAGACCAAAGAACCGTGTGGAAAACGAAGAATTATCCCGGCTGCCGACGAGTTACATGCACTCTGCCTTCCTGCGAAAAAAATGACCATCAGCGAAACGAGACCAAGCCGTCGAGTGAGAAGGGAAGAACGCAGATTACTCGAAGGAACGATTGCCAATCGCTCGCGAGTCTACGTTTAATCGTTATCGCTCTCGCGTTCAATTCCTTTCGCGAATAAAGAAAGTTCCTTCGAGTAAGCCCTTCTTAATCGATTGTAGAAAATAATCCTTTGCCCGGTTCTCTCCAGGAGTACCGCGACCGAGACGGTCTCACATCCCAGGGCAGGAGAATCGCACGCGATTCGTTTCGAAGCGCTTTCCAGCTTCCTTCCTTCTACCAGCAGAGTAGCTGCGGTGCTCGTCATCACAGTCGTAATGAACAATCGTCGGTCAAAAGAATACGAATTCACTCGATCAATGTACCGAGTGTCGTTACTCGTACATATCGCCGTCTACTCCTACGGTCCCGTGTACATTCACACCGAACATTTGCTTTGGCAAACCCTCGAATGGCCCAATTGAAGTGTCAGAGAATTCGGTAATGATCCTTCGAGACGACTACGCTACAAAGTCATTAGATTCGTGGTTAGGTGGAATATTGGTACTGTATACTGATAACGAGTTACTCTGAGATGTAATCGAATGGAAGGAATTCGGTGTCATCGAACGAGAGGATGGGGAATTTCTCATCGGCGTGATCTGAATTACTGGAGCTGGCAGCTCTTGAAGGTCTGGACGCAATGTCACTGTGTGTGGCATGGTACTGCTCGTAGAACGCTCCAGTTCGGGTGGTTCACCTGGATTTTTTAAGAAAAAAATTCTGACAAACCCTTTCGCGTGATAAGAGATATATTCGAAATATTTATATCTAATGCGGTTGAAGGATGGCACTCTTCTCATATCCGATTAGTTAATTAATTCTCTCGTGTTTAACTAGGTATTTCTATAAATCTGAAACTCACCGTTAATGCTGTGACTGTCCGATACCACGAAAGCAGCGGTTCCGGGTGGCTCTCCGTCGTTCGCGTTTTCTTCTTCGTCAAAATTAAACAAACTCGTTTGCGACTCTGAACTACTGTTAGAAATATTGGACGGTTGTCTGTCTCTCGATCTCCTCGCCCGGGTGAACGGATTCTCTCTCTGTGGAGTAAACGTACCTCCCTGCGTTCCTGTATGATAAAAAGGAAATTAGCAAATTGTCAAGTTATTCGAAACCTGACGTTTCTTTGACGACTGCAAGAATACCTGGGTGCCCATCGCGAATCAGTGGCGTAGAATCGTCAATGTCAGAGTCACTTTCACTGTCCGTAATAACTCGCTCATCAGCCGCAAAAACCTTCCTCTTGCAAACGGGACAAACGCGTCTATTTTTAGTCAGCCATGGGTCTATGCACTTCGAGTGGTATGCTGTTAAGACAAACGAAATCAATCTGTACATTTTGTTAATTGGTTCCGACTACTTCGATAAAAATTCTAAATCTTACCATGCGCACAAGGTAGCACTCTTAGTTTTTCCCCCTCTATGTAATCGTCCAAACAGATAGCACATGTCTCGTAGGGATCACCTTTGGAGTACTTGTGCGTAGGAATTTTCTTTAAACTGGAGTTCGGTAGTCTGTGACGGCGTTGCCTCCTCCTGTCTTTAATACATCTTACGACCTGGAAAAATATTATACGAATTATCGAATTTGAAATAGCCTGCAAGAAACATAAGAACATCGACAAAACAAACTCAAAGGACTAATGTTTAATAATCTTACCATGAATACCACCATGACGAGGAAACATATACCAACAACAATGGCAAATGGCAAGAGCAAATGAGTATTGATATTGAATGGTAGATCATCATTGATCAAAACAAAGTACAATTGGTCGTACAAATAATTTTCTTTAATAATCAATCCTGTGATTTCGCTAACAAACACCGATGGTATAGTAATCCCTACAGGATCCTCGGCTGACATAGGTACTGAAATTTACACAATTTCATAAATACTGTGAACATTTCATTACGTACTGTTAAATGACATGTACCTAATTCGTTACTGTTAACATTGTGCACTATTGCTGCATCATAACCTGCTTGTTGTGCCATTCGAACCTTTATTGCAAAACTGCAGTTAAAACGGGCGATCAGTACTATCCAATTCCCTTCGAAATTGGAAACATTTGGTGGTGGTTTTATTTCTTGACATCCTAAAGGTGGATCGCTGTACACAACCATTCCCTGCCATTTATCAGAAAAAAACATGTTATCATTGGTTTATTCTGATGTTATTTATCATTAAATTACCTTAATTCCTACTGATGGTATTAAGCCACCGAATCGTGCCGGTACATCTCGGAATTCTTCCTCTACCATATGTCTGGCTGCTGCCGAGAATACTAAAATGTCTGCATTCGCGTAGGCAAAACATATTGTCAGAAGTACAACCCATAATTGGACCCTGTGACTTAAAGATCGTATTGGCATTTTTTAATGGGTCAAAAGTGCCTTTTCTCATTCAAGTTTTCAAATTTATCTATAGGTAGAAACTTCACTTCTGCAAACCATTACTGTACTTCAAAATTTACTTATCCGATAACGTTACAATCATTCTCTCTAAAAAAACATGTGTCATCCTACGACAGAAAGAGCCACAATCAGAAACCCATTATTTCTTTCATCACCCATAACTACAAATTATTGACATTATACGTTCGTTAAAATCTAGCATTAAAAAATATAAATACATGCTTTAACACGGATTAATAAATCCTTATGCTTACCAATCCAACGGGCTCCGATATAATTACTATACAATTCATTAGTTCCAATTAGCACTATGAAAAAATTCAACCGTTAGCACCTGCAATGACAAATGGTAAATCTAAATGCAGAATCATCGTAAGCACTTGTCGAAGCACATCCGAGGTACGCAACATCCAAGCTATGTTTAAACCAGTACTTTGCCAGCCAGATCAATAGTAAACACGGTAGATATCTCTTTATCATTAAATCTCTCAAAACACTGCATGTAACAAACTACGAGAAACAGTCTCAATGTATGACGCATCCGACTTGTATAAATGGTACTAACACAGCGATGCAAGAATGCACATAATTCGCAGGGCTCACTGCAGTACTTAATGATCGCTGTGTCGATATAAAAAAATCGTTTATATGGATCGTGCGAACAAAGTTTATACGATATAGGTCAGTTGCCCAACGGATGCTCTTCTTCCTTTTCTACCATCGTTGTACGCACACGTTGATCCAGCCCAAGCCACATCAATGTGATACGCACATTCGCGTATCGCCCCTGCTAAGCCCTCGCTCAATTACTGTATGACAATTAGGTTAGGTTATCAATCATGCAAATCCGTAGCCGAAGATGAGTCGCGTGAGAAATTTAAACGCAGTCGCAGCCCCATTATCCAATTTCCTCAAAACTGCGCGTAATCGTCGATTATCGGTACAGAGGATGGATACATCCCAACTGTCAAGTTAGATTCCAGGATGTTATCAAACGCGCAGTTTCGGGTGACCGAGCTACTGTACTGGCAGCTTACTCTTACATTTAGACACCTTCAAATCAGTCGGACTGCAACCCTCTAACCACAGGATACTCCACTGCGGTTATTTCTCGCCCGTTCATGAGTTTTCGATACAATTGGCGAATGCACTTAGGATGTTTAACCTTTTTCTCGCGGAAATTAGAGTACCAAGTCGAACCGGATGTCACACGGCCATCGCTGAGCGGCGCGCCAATCGCCTAGCGGTCAAACTTTCGGATTTGGTAATCGCGTCCCAGGATGCAAAATTATCGTTAAGTTATGATTTATATTGTGAATATTAAACATTGGAAGTCGAGTAACCGTTTGAGTTACTCCTCCTCCGCGATTTTGTAAAGATCTGACGATTAATGTACTCGGAGATTCATGGACTTCCTCACGTGACTCATTCGGGCCAAACCGGAAGTCACGAGCTCATTTCGTATTGCGCGCCAATCTTCGCCCGATTCAAACATACCAGGAATTTAAGTATAATCAAACTTAACAATAATGTTTCATCAATGCTTTTCAGCGGGGATAATGAAATAACGTGATATAATTTGCCTACTTCCAAGTGAAGATCTCGTTATTTTTCAAGTCCATTTCTTTTTTTTTTTATGTACATAATTATGCATACACAGCATACTTCACGCTTTGGATATGACGTCACTGTTAAAAAAATGACACTTCCTAAGATTATACTTATTATTGTCCGCTCAATATGAAATTCCAACCTTAAGAAGAAGGGAAATAACGGTAACAGTTGATAAATCCTTTTTTGACAAAAGTAAACGTAACGGTTATCGTTACGCAATGACATACCGAGTCTTCGGAATTACATTTATTCTAACAACAAATGTAGACCTTTCGGCGAATAAAATATATACAGAGGTCCAATTAATCCTTATGCAGCAAAAAACATTCGCAACACTTTCAAGGGGCCCTAAAATTATTTAAAATGTAAAAAAAAACATTTAAAGTATATCCATCGTTCTCCTAATAATAGAAGTAAAAATTTAGCGAGCCAATCGAGTACTTAAAAAATCCCAACTCCTGACTTTTACAGATCTCGTTATTAACCTACACTCCGTAGTCGTAATAATTTCTCGTAGCTTTATCATACATCCCAACAGGAATTACTTAAGTTTTGTATATTATTACCGTAAACAGTCAAAGCAAGTCTTCGATGAGGACTATGATAAATTTTATCCTTACAATTCTCGTACCTAAATTCCCTTGAAAATAATTAGACCGTTTGTTACAGTTGTTCGTACGACTGCAAGAACATGATCATTCCACGTTCCCACGGAATCCTGTCATCAGAACCAAAAGGTACGCACATGCCGAATGTAACATTTCATTTTCATAATGTTTATTCGGCATATATACTAAAGGGGAGAAAAAAAAAATATTCGCATAATCCTACCGGTCGTTTTTGACTTAAAATACCTTTATATAGCGGCTCCAAGATACAATAATTATCTTCATTACTCTCTACGGCCTCATTCTCGTGAGGTGCCTAATTATGTATACCAAGCTTACCTAGAACAAGTATTTACACAATTATGCGACGATCGATGTATACAATCCAGCTGACGTAACACAGAAAATTACGACTCTCGTGAATTTCATTCGAATGAAATTCTCTCGCTAAAATCCCAGAAACTCGAGGATGTCAAACGCAATCGCAGGAATGAAACCGACAGAAGAAAAAAAAAGTATATCGAGCTTCTTAACGGGACGATCATGTATTGTACAAGTCTTCTCTCAAATTCTGCACACACACACACACCTCGTGTAAAATCCGTGAACAAAAGCAGGAGGCTTTCTCAAGCCCAAGGCACCTGGCAGTACGATACCACTTGGTATGCACTCAACGGTGCATTAATTTCAATTCGTCGTCAATTGTAAACATATGCGTTACGATAGTTCAACTTACAGTTAATCGATACAAATGTTAGAGCTTCCCTCGTGAAAATCTATCGTCCAGTAATCGGGCCTTCATGAAGATTGCCTTCTTGTTGGCATCGTCAAGACGATTGGCCTGCAGATCAATATCGCGATCGAATGGTCGGCGTATGGGTTTACCGGTCTCCTTAGCTTCCTTCTCTTCTTTCTGTTAAGAAAAAATACAATTAGCACAATCTGCTAACGAATAATCACGCAAGGAAACGAATGTTCAGTAATTATTAAACTACCTTCTTTTTCTTCCGAAGCTTCTTCTGATGCAGTTCCAATAATGAGTCTTGGTGTTTCTTAGATGTGGACTTCTCTGATGTGCCAGGTTGCTGTTGCTGCGGTGGTGGTAAGCATGGTTCACTTTTTTCGTGTGAAGCTTTCCTCTTTAAATAGAGTTAATATATTAGAACAGTGCAAAATAAGATTAAGAATAATGCAAGATGATGGATTAGAAACCTGTTCTTCTCGTTTCCGAATTTTATCTGCTGGCGTATCGGTCCAGCTAGATCTGTCCGACATATCTGGGCCCGGTCTGGCTCTGAACTTTCGTGGTCCCAGTCCAAGATTTACGGCTTGTGCTGGAGGAAGTTCCATCATCCATTCCTCGCGTTTTGTTTCATCGACGTCGTCCTGAAAAAAAAAAAAATTATAAATTTAAATAAAAGTATCGTCCATAAAATACGTCAACACCCTGCCGAGGTAACACGTATTAACAAGTACCTCAGTCTTGATTTTGTTTTTCAGCAGCTTTGCTCTTTCCTCCAACTCCTGTTGCACTCGGCAATCTTTTGCAGCTGGATGATCAAGTGGCAACGGCCCAAAGGTATCTTCGTTATCCAAAGTCGACACCGAGTGTTCTACACTGTCATTGCATTTCACAGTTTGTGGTAAAGTGGGTCCGATGAAGCTTTGCGGCATCAAATGCGGTGGTAACGCAGGCCCAAAGATACTTTCTTTCTCATCTTCCGATTCTGCCGAGTGCTTCTGAAGATGATCCGGTAAACTGGGGCCTATGATGCGAGGCTCCTCTGATGTCACCGTATGACATCTGTCAGTGTCCGACCGAACAAGTAACACAGGTCCATAGACACGCTCTGGTTTGTCATCGCTCGAGGCTGTCGGATGATCAACTTCAGAGCTTGACTTTGACCAATTATCCTTATCGGTAGTAACTAAGAAATCAGTTTTGGCGAGGTTCGCAGATGGCACATCACTGTTGCACTGACTTGAACTTGAACTTTGCGTAGGCACAGGTGGCAAGGCCGGTCCGTAAGCAGAGCCCCTGTTCGCTTCCTTTGAATCTTGCGACTTTCCACTAGTACCACTACCACTCGATTGATCCATATTTATATCCACGGTACACGGTTCTTCACCACTTCTTTTATTAATAATGTCTTTGTCATCGGGACGTATCCCCTGTTCTCGCGCACAGCAGGCTCGATCTTCTATCGCAGTGGGTGTGGATGTAATTTCGGACGGAGCAGGACCTAGTAAGGAATCTGAAACGGCAGGAGGATTACTATCACGGGAACCAGGCAACCGCTCGTCGCCGCTGCTCGGAATTACCTTGTGCAACTGAGAAAGGCGCCTGTTCCTCACCGCCTGATGTTTCATTATGCGTTCGTACTGCTGTCGCGAAACACGCTGCCTGATTCTTGGCTTGTAGTAATGCGGAGGCAAAATTTCCCCTTTGATTATCGGTCCTCTAGCCGGTGACTGGCTGGCCGACTCTCCGGAGGAATCCTCCTCCGTGTCCGAAACGATCTCAAAGTCCGACAAGTTTAAATCTTTGCAATCAGGATCGTCCAAAGCCAAAACTGGTCCCACGTCAGAATCCAGCGCACCTAAATCAGACTCGCTGTCACTGCCAATTTGATCGAGAATTATGCTCGGCGAGTTAAGCTCTTCTTTCAAGGTCTTCGCCTTGTCCTCCTTTTTTGACAGCTTTTGAGTTGGTTCGTGCTTGATGGGCTGATCACGAGATGATTTCGTTTTAGCAGTGTGCACTGATCTGTCACGGCTTCTATCCCTCGAATGATGCTTGTACCTATCACGGCCCCTGCTTCCATGCTTCTCCGATGATTTGTCGTCGTGGTTCCTTTCATGCGACCGTTCTTGCGACCGCCGTTTATCTCGATCGCGATCCTTCGAGTCTTTTGACTCTTTCCCTCTGATTAAATCTCTCGCGTCTACGGGTCTCACTCTAGAATTTTTTGAGTCCTTGTCACTAGTTTTACCACTCTTCGGACCCGAGTCCTTCGAATCTTTAGGGTCTTTGTGATTTACACTCGTTCTTAAATCCTTATCGTCCCTGCACTTTGAACTCCTGGACTCCTTATCGTGCCTGCCATTTGTATCACGATCTTTGGATATCCTCCGAGAGCTCTCGTTATGTGTGGGAGATTTTTTGTCGTGTGCGTTCCTCGACCTGTCATGATCTTTCCTATCGCGAACACTTCTGTCTCTTGATCGAGATCGACGCTCTAGATCAAATGCTGGAAGAGGTGATCTTCTGTTCCTTGAGTGCGCTACCCCTGCACCGACGTCCTTTCTAGTTGCTTCGAAGCGGAAACGACGTCCATCGTCGCTATCTTGACTTTCAGAATCGGAGTCCATCGTCGTCATAATCTAACTACCTTCTGAAAATACGAGATTTTTATTACCTCTATTTCTAGCATTCTTTAAGGATAATTACAACTGTAAAGGTAGATATTTCTAAACAGAGCTATATTAATTTAGCGGGGTAAATGATATAAGCTAAAGAAATATTTACGAGGTCAGGTAGTTATAGCACTTTATTCACAGATATGATTTTGACGATACACGTATGCAAATAACAGTTGACAAAAATCAAAGAGAATTGAAGATTTTTACTGTTCAACTTGCTTCTATGTACTTTTTCTGCCTGTCCGATCTTTTACAACATTTTGAACTACTTTTTCTATTCTAGTCGATTCGCCAGCTGGAACATTTAGCACATCTCGCCTTTGATATGAGCTTATCATTTTCATTATTTTCGCAAAGCTGTATTTTACCGATTTCAGAAAACCAGCAGTGATAATACCCTTTAAACTTTGAGAAACACTGGATTTCCAAACTATTTGGCGTAAAACCCTTTCCAAATATTCACTGCACTCAGGATCATAAGCAATTGCTCGTAAACAATCTTCGGTATCCTTTGATCTTGGACCCTCTGTCCAGGATCGTACTAATTTTACTTGAGGAATTCGAGGCAATTGATTCAAATGATGAATTCGTGCCAGTGGGCTTGTATCCTGATTGCATACAATGGCTACTTGTTTGGTCCTTGGAATCTCTATAAATTTATCAAAGTGTTTCAAAATGGGCGTATATAATACTCTAAAGTTCTCTAACTGCGGTACAACGATATTATGCACTTTGTCTTTGTCTTCCCCAAAAATCATTCGAAAATCTCCATTGTACGATAACCCAGTGATAACTTTATAAAAGTCGATTTCGGTAAAATGTTCCGGTAATAAAAGAAGCGTGGCATGAATAGCAGAATGTAAATTTTGAACCAAAGCAGTTTGCAGTTGTGAATTTTCATCCGGTTCCAGCAGTACCTCGACTGGTTTGTGCAATCTTCCAGCTAGGTATAAGAAGTTCCAATCTAATAAATCTTCAACTAAAGAAACTTCCGATACCACGCCATACTTGACAGTCCGTCCTTCTGCCGTCTTTACAAGAGTATTAAAATATATCCCGGCTCCTGAATGTTCCTGCAATTTTGTGACAGCTTTGTGACCTAATATCCTCATAAGCCCAGAGTAATGACTCGGATTGCGACGTAAGTTCTCCATGTGCCACTGACTTGAATTGCGCACGACAAATATTAAATCCAACATGTTAGTACTGGGGTCAGTAACTTGCTTCATCGCCCCAGAGCCATAAGCGAAGCAAAATTTAATATTCTGTGGAAAGCTCTTAAGGATCGTTCTGAATCGTGAAATCTGGTTGAGCTTTTCCATGGCTCTTAGAATACCTGACTGGACAATTAGCGATTTAGATCGCTCAAAGTTTGGCTCATTGCTTACATCCAGCTGGCGGTAGTCTGGTGGACGTATCGACACCGAGAAACTTGTAATCTTATTCTTTACCCAGGAACTCTGAGATTCTTGCCTGATTCGCAAAGTCACACAGGGTCGCAGAGAGGTAGTTCATGATCACTGCATTTCATTCCCCGATATATCTCCTCGATCACAGGTCCCCTGGAGCCTTATATCGTTAAATTCTGATTTCTACCGAGGCAGAGAATTCCAACGGATTTTTTTGGACATCCTTTGCGTTGCGCTCTAACTTCTCGACGGAATCTCCGTGCGCACAGCTAATGAACTACGAAAATTTAAAGTCAACCGGTCTTTCTTCCTCTCTCCATCGCCAGTACGAGGGTCCTAACGCTAACTAACCTAGAAATTTGTTTCACGAATGTCGTAACCATAGGGACTACTTACTCGGAACGATGCACTGTTTTTGCGGTTTTTGCCTGGGCGAGTTAAAATTGCCTAATTCCAAAATGCGAGAGCCAGAAACATGAGAACGTCATGTCCGGATCTTCGCAGCTCACGCATCGAGTCTCGTCCTAGATTGTATTTCAAATCCCACGAAATCCGTCGTAAAACTTTGGTCCTCTTTTTGGTAATTTCGAATGGCGGGTAGCTCGTCCGAGACCGCTTCGGAACCTCACGATAGGTCCATAACCACGGATTTGCAACGGATTCGGAGCGTGCTTTCCGATGCTGCGTTAAAATTTCATGAACCACTAGACCAAGCCCCTTTATAAGGGCCTAGCGTGCTCTATTCGACTACGGGTATTTACTCCTCCAAACAGCGTGGCGTGAAGGTACGAACTTTCGGGCTTCTGCTTTCGATCTTCGAGCCGAGGTTAAGGTTGTAGATGGTTCGTCTCCGTGCTTCTTGCTACTCTCGAGATCTCTTAGTTTCGATAAACACCGCCATAGATCGCGATAGTCGACGTCGAGAAATAGAGGCCTTTGATCGGCTTTACCAGAGATGAGGAGTTGGGAGATTGCTCACGGGCAGGATCGGGCGATCGCATTCTGTGCTGCCCTCTGGTTTCGTACGTTAGCTAGCCGTACGTTAGGTAGCCGGTTGCTTAAGACACGTTTGTTACAAACAATTTAACTGTTTACAACGTTTCATAATGAACGATGGCGAACAAGTATCTGCATTCTCTGTATATTCGCAAAAAAGAAAATGTTCAGTTGACCGAAGTAAAGCCAAAAAGGTTAAGTCGAACACACAGAACTCCAAAAGGGATTGCGCCACTGTGAAGGACAATAATAAGAAAAGGGTAAAATTTCTAACGAAATCTAAACCGCCTAAAAGTAAAAGTTTCTCACCGGCAAATGAAACTCTTTCATCAAGCTTTGTATACATTGACAAAGAATGTATCCCTCCATCGTCACAGAAGGCTGACAAGCCTATTGGGAAAATTAAAAATAAATTTAATTTAAAGAGTAATTTGTTAAAGTTAACAAATAAGAAATCAAAGAAGAATTTGCAGAATTCACGAGCAGTCGTTTTGTATAAACCGAAAGGACAGAATAAAATATCGAAAAAAATAGGTGGAATGCATGACTTTATAATGAAAAGAGGTGAAAAAAAATATAAAATAAAACATATAGAACAAAAGGAAGATATTAGCATTGTGAATGCCAAAAAGCCAAATAAAGAAGCAGATCCGATTATCGATTCGGTCGAACAAGGCAAAAAATTGTTCCAATGGTTGATACATCCATTGGATGTTTCTGACTTCTTTAAGTAAGTTATACGATAGTAAAATATTTTGTATTTCACACAGCTTGTGAATATCTTCTAAATTATATTTATTACAGGAATAATTGGGAATCGGCGCCTTTACATATAAAAAGAAATGCTCCAAAGTATTATGGAAATATTATGTCCACGCAGTTGCTTGACAAAATTTTAAGGGATGAGCATATATTGTTCACAAAAAATTTAGACATCACTTCCTATTCAAACGGCATTAGGGAAACCCACAATCCTCCTGGTCGTGCATTTGCTAGCATAGTTTGGGATTACTACTTAAATGATTGCTCAGTCAGGATGTTGAATCCTCAGACATTTATACCAAAATTACATATGCTAAATGGTATGATATATATTTAAAATGTATTAAAAAAAATATTTACTGGAAGTTACACTTAATTTTAATTTTTTCAGCTACTCTTCAGGAGTTTTTTGGTTGCTTTGTTGGAGCAAATTCCTATCTGACGCCTCCTGGAAGTCAGGGCTTTGCTCCTCATTATGACGATATTGAAGCATTTATTTTGCAGATCGAAGGTAAAAAAAGGTGGAGGTTGTACAAACCGCCGAGTGCCTATGAATTTTTAGCAAGAGATTCTTCAAAAAATTTTGATCAATCGGAAATCGGAGAACCCATATTAGATACAATTGTAAATGCTGGTGATTTGTTGTATTTCCCACGTGGAACTATTCACCAAGGTGAAACCGTCGAGGGTACTCACAGTCTTCACATAACATTAAGCGTTTACCAAAGAAATAGCTGGGGCGATTTTCTGGAGAAACTTATTCCAGAAGCATTGAAATGTGCAATTAACAGTAATATTGAGTATCGCGAAGGTTTACCTTTAAATTATCTTCAGCACATCGGTCTGGTGCATACTGAGGATCAATCTGAGGATAGAAAGAAAATCATTGAAAAGACTAAAGAATTATTAAAAAATTTAATCAAGCACATCGATATCGACAAGGCTGCCGATGAAATGGCTAAACGCCATATTCATGATTTTTTACCACCGGTCCCTACGTCAGAAGAACTCGTCTGCTCGATACATGACGGTGGTGAGATTATGAGTAATGGAAAAGTAGTTAATCGTGTTGAAATTGAACCCACTACGAAGATTAGACTATTGAGAGCACATTGTATAAGGTATACTTTTTTTAAACTACGTTGAAATAAGTATGCATCGATGGTTTTAAAAATAAAATTTAATTCATCGATCAGGTTGGTCAAAGAGGAGGATGTCTTCAAAGTATACTATTCCTGCGAGAACTCGAAGGAGTATCACGAGTTCGAGCCCCAGTTTCTGGAAGTTAGCAAAGAGTTAGCTCCTGCAGTGAAAAGAATTATTAAACATTACCCAGAATATATTACCGTAGAAGATTTACCAATTGAAGGGGAAGACAATAAGGTAAGATAATTTTCGTAAGGAAGTTTGGCTGTTTCCGGCATTTTCTCTTACTAACACGATTAAATAATTTTCCTTGATTAGATTCAAGTGGCGAGGGATCTGTGGGAAAGGGGCATTGTTGTGACCGACTTACCCTTACCCGAAATGGAATGAATAAATAAACGTCCAATAACGGATACGACTATCGACTGTTAATCCTGCCGAAATGGACGAGAAATTATGTGAAACTTTTAATTTTACAACAGGTGCAGGCGACGTGTGTTTTTACTTTACTCGAGTACAAATAAATATGAAATCTGGAAAGCAAAAGTTGTTCCCATGGCTCGTAATATATGTATGTACAATTTTTAGTTCAGTCACTTGCAACAGTCGGCTATAGTGAAAAGTAAATCCATCGATGTTAAAACTCATCGATGGGCGGAAGCAGTAGTCTTATTGTCTTATCGTAAGCGTGGCATCCCTCTTGACCGTTTCCTTCTTATCTCTCTGCCTGCCAAGAACGAATTCAATGTACCCTAGATAGCCATCGTTGTCCAAATCATCCTCTTCTAGCGTCCTGTCCACAAGTTCTTTTAACAAAAAAAAATATATATATGTATCATTTCACACAAGGTACTACCATCGAACCGCAAAGTATATAAAAAAACGATCTACCAATGATCCAGGGCAAATAATCGGCATTTTTATTGTCTTCATAGTCCGCCAATTCTTTCTCTTCGTCCTGTTCGTGAAGCGTGTGTTGATAAGCATGCAACATTTCCAGCCCATCCAATTTTGTATTGTTATCGATATCGTGGAGGCTGTAAATCAGAGTACCACTTATATCTGCACCGCATATGAATAATTGCTTGAAACTTACTTAAAGTAAAAGAAGTCAAGCTCCTGTTCAGTCATTTTCGAGATGTCCAATTGATCGGCAACAGACCCCATGTCCTCCTTCAAGTGTCTGTCGGCAAATATTCCAATATGCAATGTGAATTACTTAAGGTGCCATAAAAACATAAATCATACGTTGCATCGTGAAGTAATTCGGCGTCTTGCGTTAATTTGACATCCTTTTGAGGTGCATAATGGTGATGGGAGACGCTGCTTCTTGGGTGATGAGGTCCACGAAAAGCCCAGGTCGATCCGCTGCAGAGGCCGAGGAGGATCGTCAGGATCATCTATGTTATCACAAAATGATAAGCAACGCCACATACTCGTATAAAAAATGTACACATCTAGTCGCTATACCAGGAAATAAATTATTTCGTATTATTTCGCAACAGGTAGTGCCAGGAAGAAGGAGGATCCTTCCTTTAAATATGTCCCTGGCTCGATAAAGGGTGCACCGAAGGGAGTTCGCAAGACTTTAAAGGACTTTTTTCAAAGTTGTCCACGACGCATGCATGAGCGATCGTCAGGAGCCAGCTCTGCGGTCTCCGACACGGTCTCTGAATGACAATAGGACCTGCTGGGACGACGGCGTCGACAAGACCTACGTGGTAGTGCTTCTTCCAGGGGATGAACACCCTTGGTCAACGACAGATGGGCTAGTAGGGGGGGTCCCAGTAATTATTATGCGATTACCCACAAGCCCATTGATTTAGATTGGACCCCGGGGGGCCTACATGGCCTACGGGCCCTTCTACGATTTTATTGCCGGATCTAGGATCGAGGAATCGATCGACTCGATCCCCAACAAGGGACCCAGGAACCGCGCATTTCGCGACAAAATATGTATCTACCAACCTGGAGTTTATCATCGATAACGTTTTGAAAATGACCACGAAGCGGGATATTAATTTCTGGAATATTTACGCGGCGTACGTGTACGGTGATAATTACTTTTGAGAATAATTATCTCGCCAGGGAGAATCGGTGATCGGAGATGGGTGTCAAAAGACACACGAATACGAGTCCGAGTACCGAGGTACTTAGGAATCAATTTTACAGGCTTACAGGGGTCTGGGGAGAATGCATATGTTGAGGGGGTCCCAAGGGGGTTCTCGGTGCAAGTGGACCCCCCACGGGGCGGGCACCCCAATTGGTCCCGAACGTCTCTCCCCATGGGTGTCGAAATCTATAAATAATTTATATCATTTGGTCCATTCATCGAGAGCCCATATGTACCTGTGTCGCCTTACAAAGAATCCGGGACCTGTTTCCGCTCTTGAACCGCTCTCATTTCTCGTGCAGCCTTTCGACCATTCGTAACAAGGTGCAGTATTTACAAGCGGTACCCATAAATAAGTGGAAAGCACCATCTCGGGTCTAATATAATCCCTCTCTCTAGCAAAGGCACATCGAGTACCCTCCCTACTTATTAATGACCTTAAAACGCAGCTTCGCGTTCCCCATGCGATGCATTTTTAACTAACCCTCTCTTTTAGACGCAAAACCATGACTATCGACATCCGCGGATCTCCGGGTCCCTTGATTCTCATTGAAGATCAATCCCGTCGCAATCTGTCGCTTTGTCTTACCCCATGTTAAAAGGCTTCCTTTCTTCTACCCATAATAAATGTCTGTACGCGTCCAAATAGGGATTCTGGGTCCTTGTATTTTTATGGGGGGACTATTCCTTCGTTGCCGATCCTAGAGTGGAGGCAGATTATGTGGAGTTTAAGGTTATGTCGACGCCCAACGTGCGAGGGTGCAACAGGACCCGGTCGGGGTGCGAAGCGACTCGGCTGGGAAAATGGCGATTTACCTTGGTGGGGTCTGGATCGCCACTTTGTCCGGTAAATCGATCGACTCGGAATCTCTCTCCTTCCCTCGATCTCACGTGGATCTTGCACAAGGTTGGCCGAGAGGAGCTGCCTAGGTGGTTTCTCGGTGTGCACGCGATTATCGACGTTTTTCCGAGTTTGCGTGCTGGCCGAGTTGCTCGGCACGAGGGCGAGCCGAGGGGCGGGTTCGTTTCGTTTTGGATTTCTGATCGAACCCCTGGCAGGCCCAGGCGGGAGAGGAAAAACGAGGGATTAACCCTGTTCCGGGGAAACTTCAATCCCGAGTCCCAAAGTTGGTGAAATCGGTCGCTCGGGGAAGATCGCCTCGGCGCTAACGAACTTCCGGGAGAGTCTCTGCATCGAGGGACCAAAGGGTTGTCAATCCTTCGATTTTGGTTCCTCGTAATCAGCGTGGACAGTCTTCGGCTCCTAAAAAATAAAGGGTTGTTCAGTACTAGCAGGCAAACTGCCGTTCGTAATTCGTAAATTATCTAGAACATCCTTACACTATCGAATACCCGTTCACGTTCCATACGAAGACACTTATGTACCGAGTATATATTCCCAGGCTGCCAAGAAACGAAAACCCGGTTTGAGAAATTTCCCGAGGGACTTTCCCGTATTCTTTGACCTTGTGCCCGCGACGAAGAGCTCATTATCGGCCCACTCCCTAGAGGTAATGTCTTCTTTTGTCCCCCTTATATCTTCAAAATGGCGCCGAGGAAAACCGGCCGTGAGATGTCGGAATAAAGAAAAATTTCTCATGAGAAATTCCCCACCGCTCCGCTTCCGCATCATTGGAAAAAAAGTTTCTATATAATCGAAGCAAACCCTTGAGACGATGGACCTCTCTTTCCCTGGTTCCTGTCCCCCGTTTTATCAAAAAATCCTGATAAATCTAGGCCTCTTCCGAACAACGGGAGAATGGCGTCGCTTGGAGCCGAGCGAAGGGTTTCAAAATGGCGGCCGAAGCGCGAAAAACCGGAGGGCCTCGAAAGAGCACGGCGTCCCCTCGATTGGAGTATCTTGGAAGAGAGATTGACGGGGTTCGGTGTCTCGGAATTCGGTCGTATTCCCTATATCTAAATCGCCCTCGCGAGGAGAATTCTCGGATGATCCAGGGAGGTAGGCGGGCTCGAACTTTTGAGCGGCAACAGAGAGCGGATGGGTCTCCGGTTACCATGGCAACGAGCGTAGCCTAAAGCTATGCTTTTATTGATTCCAAGCCACAAACAATGTACAGGAGTGGATGTTTCGCTGTGTGTTATCTCTCTCTCTATCTCCCTCTCCCTCTCCGCCTCCCTCCCTCGACATCTCTCTTCTCGCTGTCCCTATCCATCCCCGTCTCGTTCCCTCCGTTTCTCTTCCCTTTTCGTGCGTCCGGATACAGCGACACTAATGTAAGCCTCGGAATGTCGAGCTTTCCCGACGAGAAGAGTCGCGGCTTCGATGGAAGCGATCGACCGCATGAAAACAAGCCGATTGCATTTTTTTTTTAAGAAATAAAAATTCCCGAAAATATGCCCGTTTGCTATGAACTCTCCGCGGAAGCTTTTGAGGAACGAGGGTATTCGGAACTATCTGCTCGAGAGTAACTCGACGACAATGAGTGATTCACGTTCGACCTCGGCAATTTTGCAGACATTCGCGGCTGGACCTCCTAGGTGGGCCTTTTTTAAAGAATCGCTCGCTCGCTTCGGGTCGATTGCTTCTTGACAATCCGGTCGATTAATTCTTCTCCCTCCCTCGCGTGTCAATTCTTTTTTTTTTCCGCCGCCATTTTTCCCTTTTCATTCGCGGTAGAAAAAAGGACGTTCCTTTTTTCGCTGGCGGATACGTCGGCGGGACGAACGGACGGGGATAATTCTTTCGAAATGATCGGTCCTTTTTTCGCCTCCCGAGGCGCGCACCGGCCGCCAAGCGGTGTCGCATTCTGACGCATGAAAATTGCCCAAAGGGATGCGCCAACCGTGATCGATGTTCCATCCGATCGTAGTCTGCTGAAACTGGCCGCCAAATAATATATTCATAGCTTCCGGATGGTTGAACGCGACTCTCCTTCCCTCCTTCCCCCCTGCGTCCTCCTCTCTCCGCAGCCTCCTGTCCTCGTCGCTCCGCAGCCCTCCGGTGCGAATTCCTCGCCAGAACCTGCGGAATAATTGCGGAAAAATAAATGCAATTAGTTTACCCACTCTCGCGACATACTCCCCCCGAAACGAGTTACCCGGTTCGTTTCTGCAAACGAATCCATGCGTGGTAATTCCAATTTCCTGGAGAATTTCAAAAGCGGTGAGAACGTTTCGAGGGCTCGGATTTTTTTAGGCTCTCTTAGGATACGAGATAAAAAAACGCAGCGATGGGTCCGCACCGCCTTAGGCTCGTCGGATAAAATAGGGAAATCCGAGACGGTTCCCGTTCGATCGGGCCGGAATTTCATGGAATTACTCCTCGTCGAAGTGCACCGAGCCGCGTGGCGAAAAAAAAAGAAGAAAAAAAAAATGGCGATGGAAAAATGGGGATGCGAAAAATGGCGACTCCTCCGGCAGCGATTGATTTTCCCGGCCGGTTCCTCGCCGCGAATCTCTCGAGTGACCGCGTCGAAGTTGGATTCCGTTTACGGCTTTTTATTTTTCACCCCAGCTCGCCGGTTAAAAAGCGATCGTGCGTATGAAGAAGTTATCGTCCCGAATCGGCCCGGCGCTCTCCCGGCACGGCCGAAACTCAGTTAGCAAGGAAAGGGGTAAATGAAAGCTCGCGAAAAACTCGCCAGAGGGAAAGAGAGAGAGGGATGGAATTGCGTACGGTCTCCGTCTCTCTCGGGCTCGCTGCCTCCTTCCGTTCGCGGTCTCTCTCTCTCCCTCGCTCGCGTGACGCTTTTCCTCCCCGCCCTCGCCCTGCTAAATACACCTAAGAGGACGAGGCGAGCGGGAAAAAGGGCTGAAAGCTCTTTTAACCGGGAGCTAAGTGCAAAATTATTTTAAAAATATTTTCTTAACCGCGTTACGCTGAAAGCTGACCCCCCGGCCTCTTACTGCGTACGCGCGGCTCCGCAAAAAGAATTCGAAATGCCGCTGTGGTTTTTTGACTTCCCGCAGCTCTTCTACGCTGTCCCCTGGATTTCCTGTACCCGACGATTAAGCCGCCAACCCTTTCGCTGGATCCCCGCACTTTGCGGGATATTTTTGCCTCCTCTCGTCTCGGCTCTAATCCGGAAATATCGGCAAAAGTCTCAATCGGTTCCTGATAAGTCTGAAAAAAAAAAAAGAGAAAGATGCGCGCGATTAACTCGTAGTGGATTATCGAGATATTCGATGCATCAACGGTGCGACTTGAATTTTTCAAACGCGAGAGCGAAAATAATTCCGTTGAAGAATCAGCCCCCGACTCCTAGGTGTACATATATCCACTTCTATGTGCCCCGTAGCTACCTTCCTCTATATACCTCGAAGCTTTCCTTCCTCTTGCCAGGTGCTTTTTAGAGCGCTCTCCTCTTATTTTTAAGCTCTCCTCCACTCCGGCCAGGAGTTTTCAGTCCAGGTATAGCAGAAAACGTCGAACTTCTCCGAGAGCTTCTTACCGGTACAGAGCCCAAGTGGAAGTGGAAAAGGAAGATGAAGTGGAGGAGAGGAGAGGATGAGAAGTCGTCATCGACTCGGAAGTGCTTTGGGATCTTTCGCCTCCCTTGAATGAAAGAAAATTGGAAAAAATCAAGAAGACCTCCTTTACTCCGAATTAATTTTTTTTACGATAAACCGCGTAGGCAAGCCATGCCAGAGACGAGCTGAACGGAGAGTAAACCCGCAATTTTTAATCAGGGAAATAATCGAAGCGAGCCTCGATTCGTCGACTCGTCATTAAATCGTGCCGCCGTTCCGCGGGCTTAATCGACTGCCTGATCGAAATATCGCGTCGAATACTTAATTACTCCGATATCACGATCTCGTGGATGGCTCACCTTAACGGGCGGTGTACATTATATAGAAGCACGACTTACGATGGGGTTCCAATTTGCCGCGGGGCGCCGTCAGGCTGCGTTTAACAACTTTTTAATGGAAGCTTGGCGACCATCGTCAGTCCCCGCCATCGCCAACGTGGAAGCTTTAATTCTAACGGGTGTCACGGAATCGCTTTCCACTCCCGCACCCTTCCAAAATCCGTCCCACTTACATTAAACCCAAGAGCCCCAACTCCGCCATTACCCCCAATAGTCGCCTCCTCGGGAGACCTTAAACAGAAATTTGAAAAATTCCATTACATTCCTCTCTCTTAAAAATGACATAATACTACTATTATTCAATTCACCTTTGATTTCTCTCGATAACGTCCATTGCATTTCAGCGTGCACTTTGCGTTGCAATCGATTTAAGATCCGATCGTCCGCTTTGGGGATGAAACGAAGGTACCTGCAAGATTCCGTAAGTTACCATTAGGGGGGTTATTTTAAATTCGGGGGAATTAAAATCGGTAATAGGAGTTCGCACCCCGAATCAGGGACACCCGGGAACCCCGGGAAACACGGACCCAGCCTTGTCGAACGTAGTGATCGATTTTTCGTATTACATACCTCCTGGCTTCGCTCTCTCGGCCCTCGCAGAATCTACCGACTGCAACCCCTAACCTAACTCTGCTACCCCTCTCGGGCTCCGTTGGCCCCCCTCGCGTCGGACGGTCCCCGGCCCACCTAACCTAGCGCGCCATCCGCGTTCTGGAGCTCTCGCAGCTCTCGCAGCTCTGGTAATCGCATTTGACGTCGCTACGTTTTTGTTTCAGAGCAGTACGTGACGCTTCCGCCAGGAGCGCTCTTGGGGCGAAACAGGGCAAAAAAGGGAGGAAGCTCGATAGAGGACGGTAAGAAGACCCGAAGACCCAAAGAGGGAGGGAGACGCCGCGACGCCTCCACCCCCGGAGCGAGCGAGACGGAGGAAACGAGGGGATAAGCCGAAAGTCACGTGGTCGGAGGATAAAAGGGAGCCGAAGCCCTCGGAAAGTCTCGGCCGAGGATTTTCTCCAGGAAAATGCAAGGACCGTTTTTCGATTACTCTCGGGATTTCCAGATATTGGACCAAGAGGTATATGACAGTGGCTTAATTGATAAAATCTGTCTTTCCGAGAATGTAACTCCATTTTTTTTTTATATATATTTACGGAGGATTTCAGATTTTGGGACCGACGTCGGGGGCGGTCCGAAAATCCAGGAGGCCGTGGACAGGGACTCCCTGTACAAATTGAGTCGATTAACGTCACTGGGCGGGCGAATGTCTTTTTATCAGCTTCCACGTTTGATTCCCCGAGTCGGCCGACACGTGGCTGCGAATTGGTCACACGTGCCGTCAATAAAACCACGTCAAAATATTGGGACCTATAGTGAATGGGCCAATTTCGAGCGCCTCTTCGGCGAGCATTTCTTCTTTTCCAAGATGGTTCCTGAATCGCGAGAATTCATCCTGAATTTATCCTCGTTGTAGAAAGCACAACGCGCTCTTCGTTGTTCCCCGTTTCTAAAAAGTACCAAAGCTCCCCGACTATCAGCGGTGGGTACCAAAAATCCAGGTTTAGCGTCTGGAAATTAAAGTAATTGAATTTTTCTCAAATTCACCAGCATCGAAGTCCTTTTCCAGGACCTTCGTCGCGGAACGTCGGGTTCCTTGACGATCGCCCTTGACTGTAATTCCGATTTATCGCTGCCGATATCGTCCCTGAAGATCGGGAATAGATCAAAGCCAGTGAACGTCACCCTCCGGGAGCGGAGGGGGTCGTCGAGGGGAGGCCGGAGGGCAGCGTCGGGGTGCACGAGGAACCATATCGGAAGGGCGTGGTGAAAATCTGTCACACTAGCCGCGAACAAACTACATCGAGGAAGACCGTGCACCCACACGGCCCGTTGATTTGCAGCGTAGGTGAAACCGGAGTCCACACGGGGGTATTTATATGCACACGTGGGTATTAATACGCACACGTGGGTACTAATACGCACACTGGGGCATTTATACGCACACGAGCCGCATCCACCCGCGCGCATTCGCGCGCCCAGGAAATTGGTGGGCGGGCTCCTCCATATGGGCACGGGACAATCGCCGTCTCTATTTTACCAGGTAACGTTGAATTTTCGCTGGTGCACATTAAAAGAAAAAAAAAAGAAAGAATGAAATGAGAAAAAAGAAAGAAACTCGCCACTCAGGTCCTGCCAGGGATCCTCCTCTCGACCGTCTCCGATTGATTTGCAGAATTTTTTCACACCCTCCTGAAATTAGATCAAATCGGGTGAGAAGGACAATTCCCTTCTCAATACGTATGGTAGACTACTTACAAGCTCGGAACGCCTTCACGACTGCCCGCTCTAGTTTCTTTTCTTTTTCTTCTGTTTCCAGGTTTGCAGCCAGCCATTTGAATGGAAGATATAGAAGGATAAAATGTGTCCGCTGACCGGGAATCGGGCTGTAAAAATACAAATCGGGTGATTAGATGGTTAAATTGGACTGATTTTTATTTTTCGAGCCAGGGTGACCAGAACTACTCGACTCGTCCCATCGATAGGGAGGAAACTAGAAGAGTGGCCGTGCCATGGCAAGGTTACATATGGCAACCGGAGCCGATAGGAGCCGCGTCTATCGGCGAATCTAATCTGTTCGGTTTGATCTACCCTTTGCGGGGAGGCAGATGAAAACCGGGTCCGTATACAAATAGCGGTTTGACGTTACGACGACGGGGCGAAAATCCACGTGGAATTCGTCCCGGGGAGTGCAGGACTCGCGCGGGTACGAGTCGGCGAGAGTTTTGTGCGTTTACGCGTCCACACGGCCAGGAGTATTATGAAAGGGCCGCGGGGGGGTAGGGAAGGATCGGGTTATCGAATTTGGAAAGCTTTCATTGCCGGAGCTTTTGCTTGTCGGCGGGCGCGCGTTTGTGCCGAATTGCAGTGAAAATTGGAAATTTGAAATACACGACGGGGGGGAGGGAGGGAAAAAAATCACGCGGACGCGAGTAGCAGGACATTTTCGACGGGGTCTCGACGGGGATGCCTTTTATAGTTCCTGCCTATCTAGTGATGGGAATTTCATTTTAGTATTTTTTTTTTTTTACAGCCGAAAAGAGAGCCCGCCTCGACGGAGAGTCTCGCTTGAACGGTGAATCTTGATCGCCCTTGATGAGTCGATTTCCAGAGGCGGCCATGTCGCGTATCGCGGATCCATTCGCGGGAGCCTGGGAACCGTTCGATCGCGCGAGAGCCCGTCGATAGAGCCGACAATGAGAGCGACCTCAATAGGTAATTTTGGTTTTTGAATTGGCCCGCTTTTAACGGCCATCGGGTATTGTCGGGGAAATTATAGCCCCGGGACTGGCCGGCACGCGCCGATGGGCGTTCTGTTTGTCGGCCGATCGAGAAGCCCTTTCCTCGTGCAAGAAGGACCTCGCCCCGGAAGACCCGATGATCAACATCCTCGAGGAAAAGTGTCGAAAGGATTGTCTTACGGAAGAATCGTTTCCTACAGATATTCCAGGCCCTCCGCCCCGAAGCTCGGCTTTACCTGAAATTTCGCGGTCTTGGAGGCGCCGTCCCCTTTCCATAAACGTCGCGTTTTAAAAAAGAACCACGAGTAAATCGCTCCCCGGGCGACCCGTGGTGCACCCCCGTCGGACGAGGGCCCTCGAAAGGGAGGTGGCCCCTCTCAGGGTGGCGGGAAAAAATTGTGCGAAAATCAACCCTTCCGGGGGTCCGGGGTGCGTCCCGACCCAACCCCATGGTTCGTTCCACGGCCGGGGGTGGGCCAGGCTAGGAACGTCTCGGAACCCCCGAAGAAGAGCCCCGAGGCAATCGCAGCGCACCCAGCTCGATGTAACGCGGCAATTCCCCCCGCCGCCCCCATCCCGGGGGGGTGCCTCCTCGTTTGGGACGCGCGCAGTCTCCGTCTCTCTCTCTCGCCCGCGAGAGCCGCATCGCGCGGTCTCGTTCTCTCCCTCCTGCGGCGAGCGTCCGCGCAGCCCTGTAGCCCATCTACGGGGCGGGTATACGTTACAATCAAATCCCGAAAAAGGAAAAAGAATTAAAAAAGCTATCTGCCGCGAGATGATAGTAAAAAAAGGAGAAAGACAGGGCTAGCCAGCGGGGGAGGGAGCGGCCGAGAGGGGTCGGCTCGGAGATAGCGGATATACCCCCGCGGATACGGAGAATCGCTCGCAGGCTATTTTCCAGAGGAATTTTCATTGGGCGGCCGCCATCTTGGCCGGGGGTGGCTTGGTGGGAGACAGCCAGGGTGCCATTGGCCCTCGCCGGGGCAACGCGCCCCCTCGGCGACCAATCGGCGCGTCGCCGCCCGCCGGTCGAGGGGTTAGCCCGCTGCCCCGCGGCCCCTCCTCGAGTCACCCCCGAGTCACCCCCGAGTCACCGGGATAACTGCATTTCGCGGACAGAATCCCGCAAGAACTCACGCCGAACGGTTACCCCGGGTCCCTGTCGCGCCTAACGGCATTCGCTCCAATTATTTCGATATTTGAATTTTCAAGGACGGGGCCTCGGCGCGCACCGCGCCCTCTAATTGGATCGCAGTCGATAATAAGATTTGAATTGCGAATCAAGGCCAGGCCGAGTCACGGCGCGTCGGCCCGGGGACCGGTCGGCGTTTCCGGTTCCTCGCGGCCCGCAGGACCCGCTGCGGAATCTCCGCTGGCATTTTCCTCGCGCCTCCGCTCGGGCCCGGACTCTAAGGTCGCCGGCCACGCGACCACGAGGGCTTGGTCCCCGCGGACCGGAGGGGGCCGGGGTGGGTCAGGGGGTCATCGCCGGAGTCCCGGAGCGCAGTGACGAGTGGTCCACGGAAGAGGGGTGGTCCCCGTGCAGAGGCTGCAGGCAGGGCGCGGAAGAGGCTGCGCTGCACCCAGGGAGACGACGCCGACCGTGGGACATCCGCTCGCTGCATCCTCCGTCGACCGTGGTGCACCCTCCCCCGAGAAGCCTGGAAAAGTGAAATATTCCTTAGGTAACCGACTAATACATACCGCATCGATTTAGGACTCGACGAGAGACCCCCAGAGGGTCCTAAAGTGCAGTGAGACCTCCCCGAAGAAGAGCCGAGGCACGCACAGGGACTCACCCTGGTCCCCGACAGTGCTTTCGCGGTGTGCGCGCGGTGGACCCTCGAATGTGGCCAGGAACCATCGCCTGACTCATCCTTCCCAGGTATTCCAAGAGTCGCGTTTCACCGAGGGACGTTCACCAGGAGGTCGAAGCGATAGGGGGTTCGTTCATCGGCGTCCAAGTCGATAGATGTGCCCGGCAGCGGAGGCGCCGCTCTGACGAGAAGCCGACCAGAGGACCCCGAGGAGGATGTCTTGGTAGAGACCTCGGGGATTAGCTCCTTCCTCGGCAGACCACCAGGTCACCCCGGCATCACCCTGGCTAACGACTTGTCCGGAACCTCCGGCCCCGGTGGCGGAGTCGGTTCCGTCGGTACGTCAGTCGGCAGCTCCCTGTCCACGACCGCCCTGAGCCTCGACCACCAGCAGTTCAACATCTTCCCGGCGATCTTCAGCAGGCAGCTCAACTTCTCCGCCGCCAACTGCGGCCAGAACAAGCTGATGGACGAGCTGAGGCCCAACCTCGGACTCCTGGGCGTCGGCCTGGTGGAGAACGACAGTTTCCACCTGAACCACAACCAGGAGAAGAGGAAGTGTAGTAGCACCAGCTCCAACGAGCAGGACTTCGGACTCTATGGGGTGCACCAGGGCCTCGAGGCCAGCCCGCCGACGCCCGCCGCGACGCCCGGGAGGAACAGCGTCGGGGCCACCACCACTGTCGGTGAGTCCTCGAAGACCCCCTCCGACTCGCCGAACGTACCCTGAAATGAATGAAACCTTCGCTCGTCACTAAAATCAAATCAACTAAAATTTACCTTACGGATAAACTGGATTTCATTGCACCGATAACAAGTCGTTGGAATTTATCGATAAGGGTGTAGCCACCTTCATGGGAATTCGTTGAATGATCTAATTTTTAATGAAATTGAATTAACGATAGGAAATCGGAGTAGCGGTCGTGATTTCCTTATCGCGGGTGGGAAGGAAAAATGGGCATCGCGTCTTCTCGAGATGGGGGAATTTTCCGGTCGTTAAGCACGGAGTATAGGCCACGGGTCCACGAGTCGAACACGGGGTTGACAATGGGGAACAGGCAGGGCATATGGTGGTACCTGTTCCACGAGCTATTATTATGTGCTCGTGGGGCTTAAGAGGGCTTAACGTCGAGGGGCGTGCTAATGGGGCAGGGTGGAAACATTAGATAGAGGGCGCACGTCAATTCTAACACCTCTCAGCTGGACCGGGGCCTTTCCATTGATCCCGCTGCGAAAGGGTTCCCCATTGTCGAGATTCCCCGAGTGAGGAACTCCCATCCGCTCTCGATTTAAACGCCATAGAGGTGTGCCGCGGTGGATTTCGATTTTCCTCCCACTAATCATTCTCGTGGTCGCCAATGATCGAACCCGGCGAATCTAAAACCCTGAGGTGTAACCACGTGCTGAGGATCGCTTCCCCAAAGTGGCCGCAATTGTCGGAATTCATTGATTCCCCAGGGGCCGCGACTCGCGGTACGATTGTCATACAAATGTGGAGGTTCGAGGAACTCCTGGCCGGTGTAAATAATCCATGGCGTTGATTAACGCGAGGCATCTGCCGTCAGCTTCTCTCAAAGGTCCTGGACAGAGTATCGCTTCCTTTCCACCGACTGTAGATCCATCCTGGAGCATCCGATCCTCCACAGGCTTCCATTTCTCGGTGAACGTTCCTCGAGGTGCCGAGACCCAGATACGAAACTAGGATCCAGATGCGGAAATAGGACCCAGATGCGGTGCCCAGGATCTTCATTCACCGCCCAGACTTCTTCTCGCACCTAACCATGGCGGCGCTCTGGAGAACTCTGAAAGAAATTCGCGGACAGTAGGATCAGCGTAAGCGCGGGTGAGAGGGTCCCAGGGGAGCGGGGGTGTCCGCGATAATTCTAATCCGAGCAGATGCCAGGTCCTGCAGGACACCTTCAGCTGTTCCCCGGGACTCGGCACAGCTGAAGGTGTCCCGGGTCCTGTGGACGCACTCGGACTCCTGGGCCTCGATGACGGTTCGTTAGAGTCGGCGCTAATTATACATTCTGCCCGATCGCCGGCTCTCCCGACAGATGGCCCCTTCGCGGCCAGGCGAGCCCTTTGAAACGCGCGAGTTTTCGGGATGCGTCCCGTCGGGAGACCGGGACGAGGGATCGGCCTCGACGCTCGAGACCGAATGCAGAAACTCCGGCAACCAGCCGTGGATAATGGTTCCCGGGCTCATCTCCTCGATTGTGCCGAATGGACACTCACCGGTGATTTCGTAATCCGACGAGCCACGGAACGGCTCGCGAGATTTCGTCCTCTCGACCGAAACCTCTTCCGGGTGGACGTGGCCAAGAGATCCTGAAAAATATGTACATATAATAATTAATTCGGTGCATATAATAAATAAACTATGGCGACAAATGGCGCAGAACGCTCGCTGATTTTCGATGGTCTCCCGAGGCCGTCTTCCTCTTTTTAGGGTCCCCATCGATTATCGAGAGTTATTAACCGCGTCAAAGTACTCCAAAAGGGGTCGCGGGTGTTTTCCGCAACGAGCTGCGGCCACCGTTAATGGTGTTTAGAATATCCCTCTTTTTTTTTCATTTTTTTATTTGCGGCGTTACGGTGATCCGAAACACGAGAAAACGGAGATTTCAAGGACGGGGAGATAGGGGGATATCCGGCAGATTTGCGAAGAGCTTCTTGTAGGACGTTTTAAGAAGTCGAAGATGTTTCGGGGGAGATGAAGGGGTTGGTCGGGAGATCCTTTTCGGGCGGGAATAAAAAATCGAGGCGAGGACGCTAATGGAGGATGAATGAAAAGAGCGGATCGGGGGAGCTGGGCTCTTCTTGGTGAACTTGACCGAGTTTCCTCGTATACGGGGTAACGGGGCAAGGTATGTAAAGTGGACAGCATTCATCCTTGAACATTGAATCAGCATGTAACATGATTAGGTCATTAACGCCGTAACCAAGTTAGCATAGTGCGAGGGACTTCGCTCGCTACGCTTACCCTGTTCGTCCGTTCATAAAGCCGGGATAGCGGAAGACCTCGGCCGGACCCGATGGGGAAAAGGGGAGGCCCGATTCTCTTTTAAACTCGTCTTCCCAACTCTGAAATCCTCGCTTATTGGCCCCAAGAAGGACACCTCCGAGAAGGCGACCCGTAGCAGCGAGGGCGTCTTCGGTGTACCCTGAAATAAAATGAAAATAAATCCTAGAAACTCGGCTCGATTAAGAATTGTGATTAATTCCGTTCAAAGCGTGACCAGTCATGCTACGTTTCCCTTTCAGGGGCCGAAGGAGCTTTCAAGAAATTAAAACCGGAACCTTGCGCCTCCAGTCCACATATTGGCCACACGCCCACTACCGCAAGTTGTCCTACGCCGGCACGACGCAGACACAGAACAACCTTTACTCAGGTATTGCGTTAATTTCCTGCCTGATTTAATTACCATAAATTAAGTCAATAGTTCCCGATAAATCCATCTTGAGCGCTAGTACCTTAATTATATTTTTCTCTTTACTCCGCTTTCGTGGGCTTCATGAAGCGCGCCTTCAGAGAGTATTTTGGACGTTTCCCAGGAGCAGCTCGCGGAACTGGAGTCTGCCTTTGCGAAGTCCCACTACCCGGACATCTACTGCAGGGAAGAGCTCGCAAGGAGCACCAAATTGAACGAGGCCAGAATCCAGGTGAGTGAAGTCGAAGTCCTTGGTCCGTGGAAAATGGCCGCGAGGGGAGGCGCTTTTCTTTCCGAGTTTCTTCCACCGTGCATCGTCGTGTCGCGAATCCGCCTTTGATCCAGGGGATCGATCATCGTGGTCGGGGTGTAGACGTCCTCTCGTCTTTTTGACCGTGACTCATCCCCGTAATCGAATCAAAGACGCATGTGGGGCGACGGAATTGAATTACTGGCGCAAATGTCGATCCAAGACACCCCAAGCACTCCCAGAGCATTGAGTCCGCTGGCAAGTAGTATCTAAACTTGACGCGAGTGTCTTTTCTATTCGGATCCGTCCAATAATTGCCAATCAACGAGGCTAAAGTCGCAACTGTGCATCCGGTTCGCGGAGACGTGCAATCCGGGAAGGATCGCCCGCCTGAGTTTCGCGCCAAGTGCGCAGCGCGGCGAGACCGAGTCTCTTTACGTGAACGTTCGACTCCTAAACTTGAGAACTGCCCCCAAAACGCGAAACTAACACACGGTAGGTATCCTCTGTGTGTCCTGGTGCGTTAAAAGTGTTACCGTCGTGCCCTTTGGCAACAATTACGAAATCGAGAACGTTTCTGCCTGCGTTCCTAATTAACATCGGGTACTCCGGGAGTTCCTCGCCCCCTTTTGCAGCGATTAACGCGAAAGGGTCCGCTCTCGTCTCTCAATTCGGCCCTGGAGGGCAGTCCCAGGGAATTTCAAGTGGTACATATTAAAACAGTCACGGCCGCGTTTCGCTCTTTTGATATATAATGCACAGTGTTGTTTGCGTTAAAAGCCCGGCAACCGCCGTGACTTAACCCTGTTAAACTCCGATGCCAAGTAAAACGCGGTTTGCTTTTAGTCGTCGGTTATAAGCCATGCACAAAGTGTCCGAAGCGGGTGAGCCCCTGACATCGGCGAGCCCGGAGACTTTGAGGAGATAACTTAACCTCAAACGCACCCAGCGAGCGTCCCTACCTTTGAAAAGTCCGAGTCGACCGATACTTCGAAATCTCCGAATTTACTACCGACTCGGATCCAAACTACGTTCCTCTTCCCTTAGGACATCGCGAATCCTTTTTATTTCCGACTTTCTACTTTCGACCCAATAATAGGACCCCGAAAATAAATTCACCGCGTCGCTCTGAAGAAGAAAATCTTTGGAAAATAGCGGCCGAAAAATTATTCCTTCAGAATTGCGCCGAGAAATCTGACAAATAATTCGAACTCTAGTTCATTTATCTCGGAAAATATTTCTAGAGGACGCCGACGCGCTCCAAAATGGCGGAAGAAGAACCTCGCTGGGAGCCGGTACGGCGCCATTTAAAAGCTCCTGTTAGTTGCGGCATTTTCTTTCTGAAAGACAGGGAAGCTAGAGGCGTCAGGGACGGAAGGAGAGAGAGAGAGATAGCTGGAGAGAGACCGAGATAGAGTACCTACGAGGGCGGCTGGCAAAGTTGAGATGAGTTGGGGTGGGTGACGCTGTACCGGAGGCTGCCATTATATCTGAGCCGCCATTTTAAATTGAATTTTCTCCACCCTAGATAGATCTGAAACGTCTCAACCTTACGAGCTCCTCTACACGGGGCCCTCCTTCTTCGCAGGACATCCCCTTCTTGCTCGGAAACTCCTCCCGAAACGTTACGGATCTCCCCTAACTTCTTGCTCCTATCCCGACGCAGAAAATGTCAAATGCCGAACCGGATATTATTTCAGCGGCCCGGAAAATAAATAAGCCGGACTGCAAGGAGGATTTATACGGACTTCCGTGATTTTTTGAATCGATAGAAAAAAATAAGGGATGAATTTATCACCTAAAGCCGCCCCCGGAAGGACTACCTAACGAGGTTGATAGCGAGGATCTGAGAAACGGCGAAACGAGAGAAGGAAAAAAAGATGGCGCGGCTGGTAAGAGAATAATTCTCGAATCCCCGCACAAGAAATCCCATTACAGGGTGGAGAGAGAGAGAAAGCACGAGGGCGGGAGAAAAAGAAAGGAAAACCTATCCCCGATATCGAGTTAGCCGAGTTTTCATTCAGCTTCTTTATCTCGGCTGGACTCGCGATTGGAGGTTAAATGCGCTTCCGGCGCCGCCATTTTGAGGCGCGAGAATAATATCGGTCAATGGTTGAAAATTAACGCGATTTCCCCCGGACTACTCTGTAGATTCCTCGAGTTTTTAGGGAAGTATCCGTCGCTTCGTGTAAATCGAGGATGACGACTCGTCTTCAGGGCGGAAAGGCAAATCGAAAGCGGAAGGGAGAAAAAGATGGCGCGGCTGGCAGGGAATAATTCTCGAATCACCGCACAACAAATCCCATTACTGGGAGAGAGGGACCAAAGAAAGAAAAGAAAACCCTTCCTCCCGATATCGAGTTAGCCGAGTTTTCATTCGGTCGCCTTATCCCTAGTCGAATCGCGATCGGAGGTTAACCGCGCCGCTTCGTTTCCCGCCTCTTATAATACGGAAGCGCCTACCATTTTTTCGCCCACTTTTCCGCGTCAGTCCTGCCTTCGTTAAACCTACAAGAGCATAAATCCGTGTCAGACGAGCCGGCGTTCATTCCCCGCAAGAACTAACGAGCCTATACGAGGTTTTCTGAAAAATCCCTACGTGAATATTTCATCAGGGCGTCACTTCCGAAGTCAGTGAATGCGGAATCAACGCGAGCGTTTCGCTGGCGGACTCGCGATCCGCGAAACGTGGCTCCGCGACAAACCAGATGATGACATAAGGGAAGAATTAATATTCATCTTGTGCCCTCCCGCCGCTCGATCTCCCTGGAAAAAGAAGAGAAAAAAAAAATTAATGTCCTCCGTGTTTTTCCCTCTCGGTAGGAATAATTTCCTGGGTGCGATCCGAGCGGCATGAAAACACCCGGCTGAGTTCCGCGCCAAGAACATATCCGCGAGTTTGGTTTTCCCTCCTAGGTTACGTATCTTCACAAAAATGGAGTGCATTCTCTTTACAAAGAAGACGTGGTTCGAGGGAAAATTGGATGCACTTTTGGTCCGGAGTGGCCACAATAAAGTAGAGCCTCCGCTCCCGGGTCCATCCGGGTCTCGAGGTCGCACCCGGGATACTTTTCTATCCTGCGCCGTCAAAGTAGGAGACATTTCGAGCGGTCCTCCCCTCGGGAAAGCGTCTTAGAGTTTCTCTCCCGTCGAGCGGGCGGAAGGGAAGGAGAGAGCGCCCCGGAGAAAGGGAGGACAGGAGAGTATGATTATTGAATTACGAACTCTTAGCTTTCCAGTTCTTGCCGAGAACGCGCCTTAAGGGACGCGCGCGAGCATGTTCTCAAAAAGCTCCTCCCTCCCAGGCGGAGGCACAAGTAAAAAGAGTCACCCTTTTACGGGGCTCCTTTCGGCCGCCATTGCCCAACACGTACATACACGGCAGCTCTCGACGCCGCGAATGCGAGACCGGCTCCTTTCCTGATCCGCCCTCTTCGAATCTACACCCTGACATCAGAAAGAATTTTTATAACGCGGAGATAAATTTTCTCACCTAAGGGATGCAAACCAGGACCCGAAACTCCGGCCTCCGAGATCCACGCAAGAAGCGAACTTGCGACCGCCGATGTACTTGGCGCAAAACTCAATCCGGTCGCTTGGCCGCCACCCGCGTAATAATTTCCCTGTAATAAAAAAAAAAAAATAGAGGGAACGATTATAAGCGCAGCCGCGGTAGAAGCCAGTTTCCAATTTATATCGCGATGTCAGAAGGAGGAAAGTGGACCGGGGATATAATGTTCTCTAAATATTCAGCGACGCCTTCGGGTGCGGCTAAAATGAAATTCCTCCCCCGGGGCTTTTTTTCCCCGCACTTTCCAAAGGACCTCGAGCTCTGGCCCTGACGCGAGGAAGAGCCACCGCTCGGCGAGGACGAGCTCCTCCCTTTTGCGAGAAAATGGCGCTTAGCCTTCCCTCTCTTCTTTTTCCACATGCCCACGGCCCAGAAAAGCGTCGTCTCGGATATTTCAGGAAAGCCGTAGGACTAAAAGAGACGATTAATATTTCCACCGTATCAAAACCTCTTCTATGCAAGAATTACCATCCCCTAACCCTGCACTAATACCCCCTCTAAATATAAATAATTTTAATTCCGAAAACTTAAATTCGATCCTCTCATATTAGTATATTTCCTCAAAACCGCCGATTCCTCGCGCGACAAGGAACTAGCCCTTCTCGCCTTTCATTTCACCCGCCCTTCCTTCGGGGTCGTTTCTCAGGTGGAAAAACCACCTCGTGGGCTCTTTTTCCCGGAGTTTTCCGGAAAAGTAGCTCGCTCGTCGAGACGGGCGCGAAATTCCCTCTCGGTTCTCGAAAGTACTCCGGGCAGGGGCTCGGCCTTCGCACGAGGATCCGCGGGTTGCTCTCTTTTCCGCAAGGAAATGTCGTTTTACCGGGGGTCCCTTTCCTCCCTTATATTTCCCGGGACTTTTTTCCTCCCTCCGGGACGCCGCGGCGTCCAGCCCAGCCGGAAGAGAGCGTCGGTGCGGATATTTCGCGAGGTCGTTCCTCGGAAGCGCCATGTTTCCACGGCGGTTCGCCGGCTCTCTCGCCCGCTATCCCGCGAAGGGTGGAAATGTCGATAAAACGTGTCAGCCAATGAGGGAGCGCCGAGTGACGTCACACTCGCGGAACCGGCCAATCACGGGCCGGCGGTGACGTCACGGGGGTGGCTCGCCCGCTCCGACCGACCCTCCGGCGAAGCCGCAGGCCTTTCTCTTCCTGGGGGTGGTCGGTGGTGGTGGAGGCGGCGGCGGCTGCTTGGGCAACCCCAATATGGGTTTACTAATCCCGCGAAACAATGGAAATCGCCCGATACAAAATGGCGATGGGCTTGGTCGCCCTTGGAATGGCCGCGCCGCCCCCGCGACCGATCAAATCGACCGACCATTTATTTCTACCCTGGGCGCGAATCGGCAACGAGCAACAAAATCAGCCTTGGTCTTAGAAATTTCCCCGGATTAAAATCATTCTTTCCAAAGTGAAAAACCGCGAGGTAGGCCAAGATCGATCGTTGCCATCGCCAGGATTAATTCTTCCTCCCCGATGACCCGATCTCGTTTGCGCAGGTTTGGTTCCAGAACAGAAGAGCGAAGTACCGCAAGCAGGAGAAGCAGCTGCAGAAGGCCCTGGCGCCGATTCCCGCCTGCCAGGGTGCCATGATGAGGAACATCTACCCCGGGGCCGGCAGGGGTTATCAGCCTTATCCGCACCCCCACAACAGCATAAACGGGATAAATCGTTACCCACAGGTGACGATCGGAATTTTCTCATGAAATGATTCCCCGCTTCTCTTCCTATAAACATAATAAAAGACGTATTAATCATTTATATTCCCGGTATCGAGAATAAGTCCCGGGACTGAATTTCTACTTATGAAGAAAAATTCATATGAACCGTGGGAACGAATCTCATCAAGGCGGATAACTCGGGGCAAAGGAAGCGAGACCTGGGGCTCATACTTTTCGGTCGAGGGAATTCTAAAACGCTCCAAAGCGACGCGTTATCTTGTCGTTTTACTGGCGTTACGTGAAAATCCAATCGCAGCTTGTCATCGCGCTTCGTCGGGGCCTCCCTGCGCCGAAATCGATGGAAATCGGGTCGGGCGAATGAATTCGATGCGTTTCTCGTTAATGATTTTAACCGAGGTAATAAATTGGAGTGCACCTGAGCGTACGTCCGGTGCACCGCTATCGGTCGATGTAGCTAAATTGCATTTCGACTGATTAGTTCGGTCGGGCGGATTACCGAATGCCTACCGGTTTAATTGAGCCAATGATTAGGGAACACAGGGTGTCCCCCCGTCGCCTCGTTTGCCTTCCAATATTCGGGAGAAAAAAAAACCCGAATCCCGAGAGCCTACGTCGTGAGATTGCCCTTCCAGTCACGGAATTAATTCCCCCAATTGGGTTACCAATTATCCCGATAACGTAGTCCGGCCCGCTCGATCGAGTCTTGCAACGTCCCTATGCAAATCCTCGCGATTATCCGGATTTATTCCCGCGTTATCAATCCACTATCGCGTAACAATACAGAATGGACGATCCGGAAATCTGTTTCAGATGGGCACGACATCTTATCCGAGTATGACCCAGCCATTCTCTATGTCGCACTCCGCGTCGAACATGTCGGCAGTGACCGGCATGCGACAGGACACGATGGGTAAGTCGTCCATAATTTTCTGAAATTTTCTGCAATTTTTCCCAGATCTCCCAAGCCTTCGAAAACGCCATGAAAAAATATACCCGGTCGCTAGAAAAGCCCTTCGGCGCTCTGTATTTTCATTTAGAAAAAAAAAACGTATCTACATCTAAATTTACATATCTACGTCTATATAAAGTAAATCCGAAAAATCGTGTGGTTAGTGTCGCAAGAATTTTTTACCCATAAACTTGGCCGAGGGGATTTTCAATTTTTCAAGTAAAAGGGTCAATTCGGAATCGTACGCGAAATGATTCGAGGTACAGCCTCGAAGTTCTTGGGTCTAGTGATTCAAGGTTCTGGGGAGTTTTCCTCTCAGGTTGACCCACTGTTATCGAATAATTCTATAAAAAGGGGGACGGAAATGGCGAGAGTCCGTGAGCGGCCGTCGTCGTCGGGGCGACGACGCTCGCCCGAAGACGCTCCATTTCCGCTCCAGCGCCGTCTTACATCATTTCCGGCGCGAGATGGAATATCGCTTTTAAATCGAATCAAGACTATTCGAGAATTGCCTATCGACTGCGGCAGGCTCCCGCCTCTCTTTCCCCTCGCTCTTTGCCGCTCCTTATAGAGATTTAATCCCGTAACGCGATGGAAGATTGTTCGATTAAATCGTTCGAGAATCGTTTAATCGAGCCGCTCTTTCCGGGCGGCGATAAAACGGGGAAAGAAAAAAAAACTCGAGTCGATACCCCGAGCACACTTCATATTTATCCCTATCGATTGTCCTAGCCAAAAGTGTATTAATTTATAAATTACGGTTCGAGTCGTAGCTGGGGGTGGGATTAAAAATTAAAAAACGGGAAAAAAAATAAAATGACAGGGGAAAAAAAAATCGCGAACAACTTCGACGCTCTCGAGGGTCTATCCTGACGAGGACCTCTTTTTCCAGGGATGTCTGCCGAGGACGAGTGGTACAACAAGAGCATCTCGGCTCTGAGAATGAACACGGCCCATCACCCGAATCTCGCGGCGCCCATGTTGCAGTATCAAACATAATTCTAGAGGTACGGGAGGCAATCTAACAGTCACCTGTTAGCACCTTGAAACACGAGAAACGTTCGGGAAGACAGGGAAAAAAAAAAAGGAAGGTGCTGGCGAGTCGGGTTCGGGACTTGCAGGACGCGAGGACCCCGGCGATCCCGAGGGAATCGCCTGCAGAATTTCTACGGGATCGATGAAAACGCGAGAATGTGTTGCGACGAGATATAAGAAGGAACATCTCGAGCGAAAGGAGAGGAAGGAACATCTCGATTAGAACTAGAGAGAAAGAGAAAAAAGAAATATAGAAAAGGGACGTCGAGTCGCTCTCATCTCGCGAGGTCGAGCCCGAGGTTGGCGAACGACGAGTTGTGTTACTAGTCGAAATCTAGTCGTAATTAGTTTATTTTGTATCCGCCGAGGACACTCTATTACGAAATTGCATATTTTTATTATGTACACAAACGACACGAGGTCGGCGTAATCCCGGTGTGTCGGCACGATGCACTCAGACGCGTCTACATGTCCAAGAAAGTATACATATTATATATAAATATAAATATATATATAAATATATATATATATATAAATATCTATACATACGGAAGGCGCATGATACTTCTCGCAGTTAAAAAGAAGGTATTACCAATTAGGTTCCGAGGCTCGCTTCGCGTACAGGTGTCGTTCCGGAAGGCACTTCTCTCCGGTCATTGTTGTCCTTTCCTCCTTTCGACCGATCCGTCGCCTTTCTCGCCCAATAGCTGGTGGAACGTCCTGTATCTCGTCCTGGCGATGAGATTCAAAGCGACGAGGGGTTATCCGGACGTTTCGTTAATTTCCGAACAACGAGTTCCGTCGAAAGTCTTCGTTAGGAGAAGCGCAAGGCCGAGGCAAACGGGGAGGACAAGAGGCGAGTAAAGTCGAGGAGGAGGGGAGTGACACGTTGTACATACTAGAGAACGAGGAAATAGGTACATTAGTATAATCCAGCAGGTGTAATAGGCGTAACGCGATTTTTCAATGTCCTTTTAAAAGTGTAAGCATACCTTAAGGGAACCTCTATTAGCCCTTGATTTGTCCGCTTCAGTTTCGGCGAGGTCCCCGACCAAGGGCTCCTTTCCATCCGCGCCGATTCCGCATACATTCCGCGCGTGCGGAAACGAGTCCTAGCGGGATACGTGGTGCCGATTACTGTCACTAAATCTGCACGGGATGGGCTTATCAGTGAACCTCCCGTTGAACCTCTCTTCCTCCCTCGGTAGGCCAAGAGTCAGGAAATCCGGGGACTCGAATATTGCGCAGAAACTCGAATTCCTGGAATAGGGATAGAAATTAATTACAGGAAGAGGGGAGGAGGGTTCAAAGGGAGTGCGGTGACGTTTTAGGAATGAAAAAATCCCCACTGTCCAAGTCGAAGGGCCGAGATGTTTCGAGTCCCGGGAGGACGACACGTTTCCGTTGTCCCTGATTAGAAAAATCGCGAAGAAATCGCCGATCCCTGTCCCGGGCGCCGTTTATTCGTGATACTTGAAGTCTGTCCAGTCCAACCATTGTCTATATCGGTGTGATTTTTCGATAACTGTCTAATCAATATATCGACTAAAGATCGGGCGAGACCCGCGGCTCGCCGTGCCGTTAACCCCTCGCCTTGTGCGACGCCGATAAAAAAAAATCATGGAACGATCTAGACGGAGTAAAATAAATAAAAAAAAAAATCATGGAACGATCTAGACGGAGTTAAATAAATAAAAAAAAAAAAACATGAGATAATCGTAGATCGGCCGGATGTTACGAGCGAGGGGTTAATCCGCGGTTAGAGCGCGAGCTTAATTGTCGCTCGCAGGATTCCACGCGAAATGTTCCTAAAAGTTTGTAACATATCACGGGCGCGTGAGCACGCACACCTTTCGACGCACTCGCGCGTGCACGCATTGCACTCGCGCGTGCACGCGCGTTGCGCGAGAGGCGGCCACGAAAGGAGTATGAGAGTTTCGTGGAAACGGCATTCCAGGCGAGCGTAATATTCTTTAAGCAAGGGTCACGTATTGTACGTATGTGTTGTACATAGCCTAAATAAAAATTACATTTAAAAGTACGCCCCTCTCGTTTCTCCTGTTTCCCTGTATACCCTGCAATAAGTCGTCGACTTAAGGCACGAGATTACAAAATAATATACGTACTACGGTGGGACATTTGCATTTACGTACAAAGTACGGAGTAACCTCAAATTCAACGTCTCTCCATGTTTCTCGGGTGAGGCGACTCTGACGTCATCCTGAGTTTTGAGCTCTACTCATCAGGCGTGCAATAAAAATTTACTTGTGGTAATTATCTTCTCCGTTAACAGTGAACTATCCTAATACGATCTTAGGTCGCTTACGTGGGCTCCCAAGTTTGAATTCGTGTCTATTTACTTCGTTTGGTGGCAGCACTCCCCGGTTGGAATTGCAACATGGCGGCTTTCCACGAGGAGTGTTGGACTCATGGAGGTTAGAGATCAGGAGGGTAAAAGTGCACTTAGGTGCACGGTAAATTTTCTCGGCTGGATAATAAACGGGAAGGAAACAATTTTCTAATCGTAAATTATGTACAACTCTGCAAGTGACGAGATGCGAGTTCACGATAAATGTAGACTAGCTTCATCTCGCTGTCGCCAGATGGCGAGTCTTACTATGGCTCAAATATATGGATGAGGGCACTCTCTGATATTTTTTGCTTCCTGATATGCGGCATACATGTGTGGAGCAAATGGTCAATGAAAGGATTCTAACCAATCTAACTTAACTTTAAGCTGTGTAAACACCGGGTGCCCATTATAATATTTTTACGAGCCGAAATTCACAACGAGGTACATTAACGAATTTGTATGATTGGTACCGATCCTTGCTGTAAATACGCAGTCATTGATTTAACGTGTTACAGTAATTTTCAAATTATGGTGGATATGGATAATGTATACGCTGAGATACAGATCTTCCTCATGAAAAAGGATCAAGAGCGAGGGGAATTAAAATTTCTTTCATCTAGAGCAACGGATGAGAATGTCGCATACATCGATGAAGTTTGTAAGAGAGTTGCTGAGATCCTCCGATCTAACAGAGTACCAATGGCGGAGAGTAAAAAGCTGACCGTGGAATGTGTACAAGTTTACAAATATCTTTTACTAAATACTAATTTTAAAGCACAGGAGCTGTTGGTCGAAGATCTGTGTAATGGACACTTGGTGGATATGTGTCCACCTCTGTCTCCGTACTTGTTGATAGAAATCCTTTGGAGTCTTGGATACGAGGAACTTCTTACCGAATCTATTTTATATCTTCCCTTAGATTTGTCCGTTGAGATCCTCGCTATTACTCGGAACTGCCTCCAGTTCCTTGAGTTTCCACGAGCACTGAATACCATCCTAACGTTGATTTTAAATATTTCAAAGATATTCGTTTATGTAAGAGATCATGGTTCACAAACTAGAAACATTGATGAAAATTTGAATGGCCTGATAAGTAACGCACAGGAGTTGATCGCTAAACTATATGATCCTAAGTTCATTAGAATTCATGAAGCATCAGGCATTAAAAAATACGAGAGGTACGGCATAGTGTTGAAAAAGATTTTGAATATGTTTAAAAGCTGCTTGGATATTGAAAAAAATGGTAACATTTTGCCCAAGGACATAGAAAAGTTGTATAAGGTTACATTTGGTAACATGCCTGTTGTGCAGGCTAATAGTTCTGTAATCAAAGAGCATTTAAGTACATTAGCGCAAGACTCAATGAATCTCTTCCTGAAAAAGTTTAAAGAGATCAGCGTTAATATCTACATGGTCTGGGTGGAACTGCAAGACCCTGAAAATAATTCGATATCTTTACAACGCTCAATTGGCATCGATTGCTACTATTTCATTGAATACGTAAATGAGAATCAATTATTAGAACAGTGCACCCCTTTAATGGAATGTGTGTCGCAGTTATCTTGTAATCCAAATTCGAATCCAGGTCTCACCACGATGAATATACAGGAACTATGTGCGCGGGTGGAAGAAGGAAGAAAAGATTGTTTAAAGGAATTACTTTGTCGACACAAAGAGTGGGATAACACGATCTTGGATATTATAGAAAAGCAGAGGTCATTGATCGACAAAAACGACTGCTTCGATTTACTTCGGAACCTCAATGATATATTTGATCACACACATAATCAGAATATTCAGGAGCGAGCATATTCAATTGTCATAACAGTTTTATTCCTTCAAGACATTACGGACATATTTGAAATTGTGATAGACTATATCCTAATGTGCAATGTAGAAGATACTTTTCCAAACTTCGCCGAAGACTTCAAAGAATTCATTACACTTAATGCGAACATAAAGATGCCAAGGAACTTGAGAATCGTTCTATATTTCATGATGTACTGTCCAAGAAAAGTGATTACTATTTTACTGAAAATCGTGCTTGGATGCCCTGACTACGACACCGTCATGATACCACTGAATGACCTCCTCGTTCTGGCTCCAATTTTCAAAATTCGTGACATCAATAAGGAAATGCTATTAACTAATATCTTGCAGGAAATTTGCATGGATAACGTGGCATGGAATGAGAAAAAATGTAATGATCTGATTAATTTCCTCATCGAAAACCATGTAATTGACATAGACAGTATCTTCAACAATATTTTCATCCCCTATTTGGAGTCAGAATTATTGGTGCCCTCAAATATGTTGACGATGCTTTGTTGCATCAGTAGTTATGAACACAAATTTGGTGCCAAAATGAAGGTAGATTCTCTCTTCCAAGCCCTTGCGATAAAGTTATCGACATTGAGAAAACGGAAGGACATCAGTCAACTCTGTAAGGAACGGTTGCTTAATATAATAGGCAGACGAATAAGTAATTTGTCACGGGGGCAAAATAAGTATTTCCATATTAGCAGGGTAGACAATGTTATAGGACATGTTGAGACCTTCTTAGAGCCAATGGACAAACTTTATTTCGATTCCCTGTGGTCCGTCCCGAGGAATGGATTCAACGTGACCGACGTAATGATTGACTACGAAAGGAAATGTTTTTCAGTAAGAAACAGAATTAAGCAAAGTGAGCGAATCTCAAGGACCGTTTCCAGTGCCTTGGAGTCCATCGTAATTCTCCGCGAGGATTTCTTGCGCCATTTGATTTTACGAAGCACGGTATATGAGTACACGAAATTCGGATACGAGAGCACTGCCATCTACTGGAGCCATTTTGGGTGGATCGATAAAATAGATGCCTTGGATAATTTCTTCAGGATAACCGTCGAAGCAGCCATCCTTAGTTTAGAGATCCCAACAGCAGTCAACCCACACGCATTTCTATGTTTGATACACGGCCTGACTGGATTCCTGAGAGAGGTCATCCGCACCGGGTTATTCGACGATATCTATCGGCTTCTAATTAAGCACATCAAAGTATTAAACAAGAGTGTGAAGCAATCACCTTACGCACTCTTTTGGCCTGATATAACCGAAAATAGGTTTGCTGATTGCACCACAGATATCCGCATCCATAACATCATGGATTACTTCAATTTGTTTAGAGTCGATTGTATGAAATATGACGTCATGATCGAACCACAGAATCCACCATCGGTCGAAATGACCAGGTTTTCTATCATGTACGACTTCATCTCCGCTTGCTTGCAGGCTTCCACAACAGAGTGCTATGAATGTTTAACAAGAATGGACAAATTGCTGTTTCCACAACGCTACTCGAAATAAGTGTCACCCTCCGAGTCATTCCTCGTGAAGCTAGTCATAATTTTTCATCTCCCCGTCATGAATCAGAGTTGGCTCCCGAGAAGTACACAATAATTATTCCGCGTATTGCAAATTGCTTTTCTACACATTCCCTGTATACTTTGCAAAAGAAGACATCATCGACAAGAGAACCGTCGGGTATGTAGATAATCACATCCAACACTTATAAGACTGTTAAATGGACTGCAGTTATAATTTTTCAATAAACCGAGTCCCGCATTTATAAACCCCGTTTTTCGCATCTCCCGAAAGATATTTTTCCCAGGCGACTTCAAAAATATCCGACCAGGTAGTTTATCGGGAAATGCGCCTCAAACTTCTTACCGCGGAAGTGCCATTTATCTCTCCCTCCCTATCTCGAGCCTTATCACACTTTCTTTTCCTCTGCCCATTTTTAGACGAGCCACTTCCCAACAAGACCTCTCCGAAAATAAGAGATGTCTTTAAAAAAGGGAAAGGAAAAATGAACAACGCCGCAGATAATGTCTAAACCGAGATACTTCCTCCGTCCTCTCTTTAAAGGCCAAAAAAGAGACCCGAACGAAAGGAACCGCATATCTCGACAAACCTTGAAAACAAATAAACCTCCAACGGGGTCTGGCGTTGAAATAAAATTTATTTTAAGAAACTTTTTCTCGCCGTAATATATAGTAAATGTACAAATTTTAGGTAATGGAAAGGATCGCGCCTCTCGATCATTGCGGCTATGGGCGAGTAAAAATCCCTTAGCCTAACCGAATGGCTTTGCGCAACAATCGGCAAGGACGCGTAACGCGAAATTCGCATCGGCCGATTCACCCTTAGGACTCTTTTCTTTTTTTTTTCCACCTTTTCGACGGCCCATCCCTCGAGTGTCCTTAAGGTAATTGAAATAAAACGACAAGGCCGAGGTTGTGCGCACGGCCATCCAATTAACAGCAGCCCCGAGAGTGACTTCCATTCTATTGTTATATTTGTGCGATACTGCCAAATGCCAATACAGTGGTTAATGATTTAAAAAAAAAAAAAGAAAAATTGTGAAAAAGTTGCGTACAAGGAAAAAATGTGCACCAGTTCAGCAGGACAAGGGTGAAGAAAAGGAGAGAATAGACAACGGAAAAAAAAAAAAAAAATAAAGAAAGAAGAGCGAAAAATAAAACGAAAAAGGGAGAAACAGGATAAAAACAATCGCCGAATTGGCGGCCTCCCGAATGCACCGCACCCGAGTGATAACGCGAGGCAGCCTCCCGAATGCACCGCGCCCTACTGATAACGCGCGGCCATTCCGCAGCGGAAAAGACTCCTCATTAGGTTCCAAGCCTAGGAGAGTACGACCGGAGAAGAGAGATTCGAAAAGAAAAAATAATAGAAACAAAGAACTCGCGCTAAACCGACGAGAAGACGAACCCCGAGGATTCGGAGGAATCCGCGATTTGGCGAAATTCAAGCGGCCCGAAAAACGGCCGACTCGTCCGATCCGGTCCGTCACCGACACGTAAACGTAACGTCACCGTTCCGACGAAAGCGTTAAAAAGAAAGATAAAAAAAATTAGAAACAATTACACGATCGGATTAATTAAGGCGCCGAACATGAGACTTAACGCGAACGTTTAATTCGATCCAAGCTCTCGGATGGAATGGACCGAGGGTCCAGGTTGAAACTGTCATCGGTAATATTGCGGATTCTCCCGGAGACACTCGAGGAGGCCTCCTCTCGGCCTCGGATCGGCACTCGAGAGACTCGCGAGTCACGAGACTTTCGTAATGACTAGATCACCATCCTGGTAGTCCCGATCAGCGTCGACGCCCGAGGAGTGCGCCCGGGTCTCGGTAACTTCGGAGAGTACGTTTAGGTATTTTTACAATGTTTACACTTAGACCCGCTCCCCTTTATACAAAAGTCCGCACGCGCGACGTTCCCCGGCGACGCGACGAGTCGAATGCGTCGACCTAAGCACAGCTCGGATTTGGAAAAGTCACGCCACAAGGTTCAACTTCTACGGCAAATCGCCGAGTCAAAAAGAAATTCAGGCCGCGCCCCAAAGGTGCCTACGCAGTATTTATTCATTTGCATATTCCCGCCAACAGAAAACATTTAACGAGACAAATGCTGCCCTGTGTGCGGGAAGATCCACCCGGACACATGGGTAGATCGAGTGCTCCTCGAAGCACTGTACATGTACTTGGCGCGCGACCTGACCGAACGATTCGAGTGACAAAACGCACATTCAGCGTTTAGCAAGGAGTAGTTCTACTTGATTAAAAAAAAAATAATAATAAAGAAAAGAAAATTACTCTAGTCAAAAAATCCAACTCGTCACATCCCTAGCGTTCCCCTCAAGGACGATCGCCACGTGTTCGCACCGAGATGAAGTACCTCGAGAAATCGATCTCGATCGATCGACCCACGGCCGAGTCCAATTATTAAGTTCATTCGGGCCTTCGACAAGAGGTTTAAAAAATTATTCCGCCAGGGTCGATCGATCGAAAACGGAGCCGAAATAGACCTGGGACGCCGTAACAGTCTTCGCCGACGCCAGGCGCCGAGATCCGTCGAAAAGAGGCATCGAGGTATAAAAACGCGTAAAGGATATTCGTTGTGCAGGCAATTCTGATTTCCCTCGTCCTTGGATCCCTTTCCGCGGATCTCGGTGCGTGTACAAAAACGAGGAGAGAAAATTCGCCAGTCGGCGATTCGTCCCTCCTGGGTGCGGATAAAAAAAAAAAAAGAAAACCGACATCGAAGCGTTACACCAAGTTATCTCTATCGAGGCTTATCGGATGGCATGTTACGGAAAAACTAACCGAGACGTCCTGTCTTTATCGGGAGTTAAACGAAACGGGGTTCCTTTCCCTCCCCCGGAATTTTTCGAGAAAACGCAGATACGCGGGTCCTTCCTCGGGAGGACCTTCCCTCACAGGGATCCGGGAGGAGTCGACGATAAAAAGGTCTCCCCCGGAAAAAGCAAACATTTCCCGAGGGTATTGTCCGCCACAGCTGTTACTAGTTCCGCCGCGAAATCAAACGACCGACATCCTTAAATAACCACCCGATGTCGCGCGAAGCGTGACCGTAATGGGAAGGAAAATTAAAAAAAAAAAAGGAGTAACTTTTTGTTTAAATTAAAAAACCAGACAAAGAAAGAGCGCGTCGAATGTCCCTCCCGTTAGACCGTCTCGAAGATCTCATCCGAAAAAGAAGTACGAACTGGGACCACTCTCGATCTCTACTATAATGCACATTTTTTAGCTGTAAGCTGTCACTGCCGTCTTTCCACGTATGAGATAGGTTACTCTTAGTTATTAATTAATATTATCGTTACTATTAATATTATATATATATATACTATATATATATAACTCGACACTATGTCATATTTACAGGTTCTTCACATTGTAAAAAATATAACGTATTTCGTACTCAATATCATACGCAGATAGTACTGAAAGGCCGATGTACATATCTAAATTCTGGTGTTTTTTTCCCCTTTCTCTTCCCTCATCGTTTCGTCCCTTTTCTTTTCCCTTCGTTATCATCCCTCGTCTTTCCTTTCCCAATCTAACGTGACCCGGTTCTCTCTCGCGTACAAATACCAACGAATTGTGCTCGCACTTAACGTATCGGTAATTATAATATGCATACGCCGAGGGGCTCGTTTTAATATTTCTTTCGCACCGACGACCACCGGTCGTCGACGAACCGAACAACGGAGAGGAAACGAAATCTGGTCCTTACGATGATATGCCGCCGGATTATTCGGATTCGGTTTCTTTGCTCCGCGACGCGGGAGGAGTCGGGCTGGGGGAGGTTAAACATTTCGCTAAAAATGCAATTGCACGCGCGTCTTGAGCCTTAGAAAAATATTGCGCCGCCTCGAGAGGTGTCGGTGTGGAGGGCGAGAGAGCCAAGCGAGCGCCTCGCGCCGATATCTAGAGAAGCGATTACAAACATTTTCCCCGAAACATCCTCGTGTACCTTCGATTTCCCTACGGGAGACGACTCCGGGCGATATGTCTGCGATTTGTGACCCGTAGCGCGGAGAGACGTGCCAATCGCTCATGCCGAAACGAGCCACGTGGGTCGGCCGCTCCCATCGGGCTAAAATGCAGCTTTCCGCCTTATCGGCGAATGGTATCGCGAAACGCTTCTTACGAAAGTTGTCCGGCGCGTTCCCGGGGACAACTTTTACAGGAAAGGCTTTCCCCTATCTCCGTCGGCCGAGCGGGTAACTGCGTTTTTCCGGCGGCCTGCACGACTCGTCTAACCACGTGGAAGGTCTCGATGCGCGCGATCGTATCTCGCGATTATCGAGCCGATATCGAGTCCGATAAAGACGCGATTACGTCTACGGGATCACAGCGAGACTACGAAGTGGCGAGGCGAGTGGACAAGAGTGCGACCGACAAGGTGCCGAAGTAACTAAGGACAGATGCAAAACTTGGCTCCGCGTCGCGCGCACCCCGTCGAGCTGTCAAGTCCACCCTAACCTCTCCTCTAACCCCTTTCCTAACCTTAGCGAGAGAGCATCAAAACACTACACAGATCAGCTGTTATTTCGGGCAAGCGTTTAGAATCCCTTAATACGAGATAAAGCATTTTCGTGGCCTACGCAAGACCCAGCGGATAGGACCGTCCCGAAGGACTCGCAGTGCTGGCAGGCTTCGCCAAGTATAAATAGATCTGACGGAAGGTGGTACAATGTATTTCTCTCGTTAAAAGGAGCAAAGTAATTTTGCAACGATACGAACACTCGACGCGTGAGACACACGGCACGGTGATCACTGCGACAGACATAATTCCGACACTGTATATTAAATAATATTATATCGAGCTTATGTAATGACTGTTTCGATGGTGTCCAAACGGCGTTCGACAGCAAACATGATTTCGATGGTACAAGAGAATTAGCGTATGATCTGGCATTGCCCTAGGGGAGCATCGCATTTTTTTTTTTTTTTTTCTACAAGTTGCCTAGTGCTGACAGTCGATACCCAAGAGAGGGTGCGTGCTTCTACAAAGCTGCAAATACTCCCCAAGGTTCTAATGCTTCGTGATTTAATGAATCGGTACACTGGTGAGCACTCGTATAAAACGTGTTAACTTTATCTTTGTGCCGATACCTTAAATTATAAAAATTATGATAAAACGAGACGGTATAAATACACCACAGATCTGAGTTTTTTGTATCATTCAATTGTAAAAGGCTACTATTCGATTATTCTCCTATGTCCAGAATTTCCTACGGTGTTATCGACTCGCTACGAGCATCGGACACTGTATCGATATCACCGACCTGCTGATATTTAATAGAAAAACACATATGATTTATGTCTAATCTCGGGTGCAAACAAGCAACTACCTGTTGCAACACCACAACTAATTGCTATGCAAGAATTGACCTATAAAGTTCCACGATGTTCGTCCATCGAGCAGTTACAAGGCTCGAGTGATTCGCTTGGAAATTATAATTTTGGATGTTCTTCGTTTGTTGACCAACGGCGAATGGGTGACACTTCGCACGTGGTCGCACGGATACGCGTTTCGACGAGACCTTAGATACATTAATAATAAGTAATAAACTTTTAGAAAATATCACTGCAAAGATTACGTCTAGAATCGACAAGCTCTCTCTCGTACCGCGTATGAAATCGGTGTAGAAGTTTTTGGGACTACCTTTCGCTTAAGTCGATACAAGAACGAGTCTTAAGTAAAACGATATTCTCTTATACTTTGCCTTAGAATGATACCCTATACTTTCTTTGCCTCGAATCTAGTAACACCATTGACGAAACAAGCCGACCACCATGGCAGTCCCTGCAATGCTCTCGAGCCAAACTTAACGCTCTATCTGTCAGCACCTAATCTTCAGAATAGTAACGGCTCGTTCTGAGAATGGACGAACGCTCAACGAACGTATCTTCCCGTTATCCTTTCGTCGAATCACGCGGAGAGCCGACAACACTCGAGTTTGGTATTGCCGCGAACAGCCGACAACCGACACAGGGTAGTTCCGCCACCCTCCGCGAATATCCACAGAAATTTGGTCCTTCTCCCTGGACTTCCACTTTTCGTTGCCCACTTAAGTCTATCGTTATATATTACAATAATATTACATATATAATACTATTCGCTCGTATATTAAAATATTTGTTCGCAGTCACCGACGGCCACGATTCATCGAGTAGAAAAAGCAATACGGCGCGTCGAGTTCATTCGCTGGCACGATCCCCATACCTGAGCGCGTCTCACCTCTAATTATCCTTACGAGTCGTCGAGTTCACAGCACAGCCCGGCCAGGCCAGTCCAGGACGACGGGTGTCGTGACACCCTCCGGGCTCGTACGCTCGACGCGATCCGATCGGCCCAACCGGGAGTTTGATTAAGTATTAAAGGATGCTGCAACAGTTGCAGTAGCTCTTCTTTTCCTTCTCGGGACTGAAGTTCATTTCTCTGACGATCTCCGCGAACATCTCGTTGACGTTGGTGCGGTTCTTGGCGGAGGCCTCGACGAAGGGGCAGCTCCACAGCTGGGCCAGGGCGTTCCCCTCCGCGGCGTCGACCTCTCGCTGGTGGTCGAGGTCGAGCTTGTTAGCCACGAGGAGGACCGGCACCCTCTCCGTTCCCTTGACACGGGTTATCAGCTCCTTCATCGCCTTGATGTCCTGGAAGGTCTGGTGGTTCGTCAAGCTGTACACCACGACGAAGCCCTGACCGTTCTTGATGTACAGGTCGCGCATACTGGCGAACTGCTCGGTGCCCGCGGTGTCCAGGATCTCCAGGACGCAGGGCGAGTTGTCCACCTCGATCTCCTTTCTGTAGAAGTCCTCGATGGTGGGGTCATACTTTTCCATGAAGCACCCCGAGACGAACTGGACGGTGAGCGCGCTCTTGCCCACCCCGCCCGAGCCCAGCACCACTACCTTGAACTCGCGCATCTCGAGCCGGCGAGCCAACCGAGTTCGCGTTCTCGAGCGTTCCTCGCAACCGTCGCCGACGTCGCCGACGTCGCCGCGCTGCGGCGCTCCTCCTTGGCCGGGCCGGCGTTAGCGAGTGCACCCCGCCGTGTCCGTCGCCACCGAGGTCGAGTCGAAACCGCGCCGAGGCGCGACGAACAAAGGCATCGAGAGAGGTGCGTGACTTACCCGGGGGGCGCCCCGAGGTGCGCGGGCTCGCCTCGTCGTCGCAGCTAGCACTGGCCGCGCCACCGGCCACTGGCGGCCACTAACGGTCACTACCACCGGCACAAAGGGGCTCGTCTTCTCGAGCCCATGGAGTCCGCAGGACGGTCGTCCTCGTTCGCGCCGCTCGCTCACCCGGGGTACCGCGGGACCCGCTCTCGCCCCTCTCGTCTGCCTGGCCGAGCCTAAGCCTGCGCTTGCCTGCCTGTCTGCCTGCCTGCCTGTCCGTCTCTCGCCTCGACTCGGTCTCTCTCTCTCGCGCGGCCGCTGCCTTCCTGCCTTTCCGCCTTCCTCCGCCTTCCTCCACCTTCCTCCGCCCCGCTCGCGGCGCTCGTCGCTCGGCCGCAGGCTTCACGTCTTCCGCGGGCGCGACGCGTGCGACGCCATCTTATCGCGCCAGCCCGGGGCTTTCTTCTGGCGGAGCGCGCCGCCGAGGAACGCGGACGCGAGCGTGCCTTTATCGGCCGAGCGTGGGACGTCCGCGCAGGTTCGCGCACGGCCTCGGCCGCCTCGGTCAGGTTGGTACGCCGTCTCGCGCCGACTGGTCCCGACTGGTGCCGATAACGCCGCGACTCGCCGCCAGGCGCTCCCATTGGCTGCCGCCCGCTGGGCCGCGCGCTCCCATTGGCGCCGCCCGCCCCGAGCCCCGAGGACGACCGAGTGCTCCTCCAATCGCCGCCGCCCTTCCACCCAGGACTCGCCGAGGTCGTTCTCTCGTCATTGGCCCCTAGTCAAAGGTATATTACCTACCTGCTCCGTACGCGTGGCGATTACCGTTTGCGTAAGAATTCGGCCAGGAATCCGAGCCGGAAATGCGCGAGCCTGTCGCGCCTTGCGATATACCGCCTGCCCTCCTTTTACCCTTCTGCGACCACGGAGGTCCTGGAAGTCGCTGGCCCCGAGTCCGACCTTCTGTCAGGGTCCGTCCACGTTGCTGCTTCCATTTCGTACAATTTACCCCAGCTTCTGTGCTTTCGTACTTGTCAACGCATATTTTCCATTAGGTGCCCCCGTTACGTCGAATATCCTTCAAATATATCTCGTGATTTTCGGGGGTTAAATTTGCATGCTTCTCTCCGTTTTTATTTATATCTTTTACTCGTAAATCGTAGTCCACTCGAATCGAGCATATTTTGCATAACGCGCGACCACCTTGGGCGCGTCGCTTTCGCTTTCACGATTCTCTTTGCTTTCAGTTGTAAGGGACACTCCCGCAGTCTGTCGACTGTCTGGCGGACTCTTTGCAATTGTAGGAACGTAGGAAACGTTTGTTCCTTTTTTGGGAAGTGTAAGCAGTGGTAGAACGAATTGTCTGGCGCGGAGCTTTGGGAGAAGACGCGAGGGTACAGTCGCGCTCGCCGATAGTCCCCTTCCTTCGGGCGAGTTTCTCTGCGCGTAAGTGTACATCCCACGAGACGTCCTTAAGAGCGCTCACTTTTGCATTCCTCGAAAGGACGCTCGTCGCCCCCGTACTCTACGTTCGTATAATCTCACAGGCGTACCGCAAACGTTGCTCCGAAGGTGCGTACACGCATTTCAACGGTTACCGACCAGACGACTGCTTCCCATAAACGTTGACCCACGCGTGGTTTAAGACAACGCGTGAGACCTTAAAAATCTTTTTAATAACCCAGCCTTCGATTGGGTAGACGGTGCGTAATCGTTGGACACTTTCACGCAGGCTTTGGCACCGATGGACATCGAGGGCCGATCCAAGGTTTTTAAAAATATCGCTCTCGGGTCGCCGGCCGGTGATTAAAGCACCTTTCGGATGTATGCAAACCACTTTGGAGAAGGATGGCCTCGCGTTAACATGCGCCTATATATTCCTGCGATTGCGTGCAAGAAGACCTTGAAACATCCCTTCGAACCGGACGTCACCGCCAAGGACTGAGAAACGCTGCAGACTCGTTCTACTTTCATAAACTTTCCTCCCATTTCCCGCGAATCCACGGAAATTAGGCGAGGGACAAACTGAGGTCTATATATTTCTCCATGTCGCTCTATTTATACGCAATTCACTGTAACGAAATTCGCCGACTCTGCAGATCATCCGTCCGAAATAGACGAGTCCAATTTTACCGATTCCCACGGAAAATGTCAATGAGAAGAGCTCGAGGAAATTGAAAAAAAAAAAAAGATTTCCAACGTTTATAAGGAATTCAAGGAAATGGGGGATGTAACGAAGGACTCCAGAAGGGAGAGACAAATCCGGAGAAAATGATCGCTCCTCGAGTAAAACCGAAAAAGACGTCGGTGACCTCGGCGAGGTCTAACGGGTGACCCCTGCGACGCCTCGCGGCGCTCTCGCCGGAAGTCGGGGAGGCCCGGGAAACGGTGGCTGCATGCTAACGACGCCTTCCTGGAAGCTAACTAGGAAAAAGGATATTATCGTCCTTGGCGACCAGGTGCCTCTTCGTGGACGACGTAGCCGAAGCAGCCAGGGCCATTGGTCGAGGAGTGGCGACGCGGCGCGACATTTCACGCCGGACGTCGAGGGGATCTATTTTTGATAAAAAAAAACCTCCGAGCCGAGGAGAATGTTCCTTGAAATAATATCACCTTGGGCAAAGGCGAGAGAGACGAGACGAGTTTTGCATGTATGAAGAGTTTCCTCGAGACACAGGTAACGTTGAATTAAAGATGACCGAGCGGGTGCTCATTGATGATCCGAAAGGATTAATTATGACGTCCGCTCTGGACGTAAAGTATATCCGAATCTTGGAAGAAGTTAAAAAAAGTCACGGGCGATAACCCTGGAGCACCGATTCCGGGCTCCTTATACGGTTTATAATTTGCACCTGTACCCAACAATGCGTAAGCCCGGGGTAACACCGTAGAAACGACGATTTCCTGGGAACGCGTGCGTGCATACTAATGACGCATTCCTGGCAACGAGCTAGGAAAGAGGATGTGACCGACCTTGGCGAACAGGTGCTTCGGCGACGTCGGCGATCAGCTGTTCCCTGACAGCGCTCGGTAGCTTGACGTCCCGTCGACCTGGCGTCGCCATCGAAACGGAGTCATAAATCTTTCGCCTATTTGACGTTACATATGCTAAACTAGCGGGCTGATAAGCGTCATTTTAAAGGAACATCCTACTTATCCGACCAAACGTTACTGCATTTTTTTTTTTACCACGTACTAACTTACCCTAGTACACCTCGTTACTGGTTCTAACACCGGTTGAATAATAAGTAGAAATAAATACAAAGTAGACCGGTCACTTTGCTAACGGTTGTCCAATAATATATTAAGCAGTAAAGCAATTTCTCCGCGGCAACTTAACCGGAATGGATGCGTCAGCTCGCGGGCGGGTTTCCGTGAAGCGGCTTTCAGAATCGCGGTATCTCGTCTGGTGCTCGCAAGTCCCGCGCCTACTCAACCGAAATAAAATACCCTCGAGTTCTGCTCCCATTGACCCAGTAAAAGATTATGCACTTAAGAGTAATCTGCCTAGCCGGGTAACCATTCCTAGCACGTGGGCCTAGGTGGCCGGCGTCAGAAAAATGGCGTCGGTGTCGTCATGGCAACCGCCTCTAAAAACCGCTAAATACATATTTAATTACAATTATCCGCAATTTACATGGCATCCTGGGGTATCTCGCGGTATCGAGGCCTGTGATAAAAATACAAGGAAAACCTGGAAACGCCCCTGGCATCCTGGGACCCCAAAGAAAACCGGAAACGAGTCCCGGTGACGTAACTCTCGGCTTTATCACTCGACTCTGCATACACGCGGGCCAAAGCGTGCACTTAGGTCCTATTAAAACTAACGGTACTCGAAGTGATCGTGAAACGCGATGATATCACCCGATGAGAGTCGGCATATTTCAGCGATGCATCACGCGGTTCCGTCGACGCTTAAGAATCACGCGAACGAAATTTTCGTGAAAGGTTCCGACCGATAATACCCCGAAGGTCGCTTTCGTTTTCCGAGTAGCAGGCTCGTTAAGCGAGGATTACGCCGGGAAAAATCGGCCGTTTATGCCGCTCGCTGTACGATCGGCGTCACCGAGGCTAATAAGCGCACCGAGAGGAAAACACGTCGCGGTAACTATTGCACGTGCTCGGGAATTATTCTGCCCATAACCGCGATTTTTCGATAAAACCTCACACGGTAAACCGTGACGTCAGAGTCACCGCTCGCAAAGTATGACCAATTGTTCCCCATCGACGTTTCTTCCGCAAGATTTCTTGTCGATATCTCGAGGTCGCTTTAATTCCCCCCTTTCTCCCCCCCGCAAACTGGCGCTCGTTAAATGGGGAATTGCAGGTAAATCACGGCGATCGTGGCCCTGCAAAGGCTCGAGCTCTTTTTAGTTTCCCTCCGTTAGTTCGACGCGCGGGTTGTGCAATTGATATTGCAAACGTACGGTATGAAGTTATTTTAGCGGATTAACGCTTTAATCCGAGAATTCTCGAGGAGGGACGCAAGCGTCGAAGCTGCGCACCCGAAGGCCGGTCTTTAACGAGGTTCGGTCATATTTTTAGGCCCGTGAGGTCCATTTAACATAATGGAGTCTCTTCTAGGCTTTGGAGGCGATTCGATGACGCGTCTTCGTGTCAAAATTGAGACACTCGAGCGGCCTCGTGTGCGTTAATACGACACCTCGTGAGGAGCGATTACGCGTCCCGTTTCGCCGTTATTACGACACCTTGTGTATAGTGCTCGGTGGATTCCACAACCATTATGGATATCACGGTAAAGGGGCTCTAGGTGCTCGTGCACGTGTGCACCGACATCGGTAAAGACAACGTGTATCCTCCATTTAACGGCACCCCTCGCGGATTGGAAATTATTTATAATTGGCTCGCTTAACGACTAAAACGCCCGACAATTTATATCGAATATTGATACCGGGGCCAATTTGCAGGAAGCCTTGGCACGAAGTTCGCGACCTATCCGAGCAGGCCGATAATTGACTACCATTGAGATATCTCTTAAGGTGATACGAAAGGGTCATTCCATACGCATAAATAATCTAGATATTTATAAAACTTTTTCCAACGTGGATTATTTTCGAGCCTCGCCGACTGAAGTCGACTCGATTCTAGTATCTGCAGCTAAACCGACTATCGGTTCGCCTTGGTACAAGGTGCGAGAGGCCTCTTCAATGAATTCATCGCATTGTTCGCCGAGTATCCCGTCGCGGGAGAGAAAAATCCCCCGATTAAAGTCGAGCGTATCGGTCTGCAACAGATTGCGGCGTTCTCTTTCTATCGGGAGGATTTAACGACTCGCGCTTACGTGTCTCTCTTAACACTCGCTGTCGGGGAGCCTCGTAACGTGGAGAATATAACCGGTGGATTCGCCTCGAACGTTTATTGCGGCGACAACGGGTCGCTCCGAATAAAGGAGCGTCGGTCGGGTGCTCTCGAAAATCAATCACGTCCTCGCGGCGCCTTTGATCTAGCCCCCGTTAAAGGAGCTGCCAATTACTTAAAATATTAATCAGCGGGTATCGTGTCACTGAACTCCCGACTCCGAATGCCGAAGGCCTCGCCTTGGGGTATATTAATACGCCCTCGTGAGGTTTTCATTCCAGCTAGCCGATCTTCGACTTCGGGGACGGGCCTTCAATGTTATCACTGAGAGCCGTCGCGGATTTTTACCCACCGACTTCCTGCCGACTGCGAATCGCAATTGTAGCGGGCAAGAGAGAGAGATATACCAAGTTTTGCAATTACCTCGGGAAATTAATGCCTAATCCTCGGTAATTAATAAATCCCCAATGCAATCGCAGATATCGCCGCTCCTCCGACCCTGATCTTCGGTTAAAATCGAACGAGTGAGATGCAGGAAAAAAAATGGGCCAAGCTCAGGGAGGGGAATTTTCAAAAAACGTGGGTGGTGGAAGTGGGCGATCAATGTACCCTGAGGAGAAAAATAGAATTATGGGAGCGAAGAAGCATTTCTTTTAACGGTAGGAAATATTTAGAAGTGCTCGGTCGTCATTTCAGTAGCTTGGATTAAGGTCGTTTCACGCTGGAAAATTTTCCCGGACGGTATGAGTAGACCTTTAGTCCGGCTTCCGGCGAGTGCTCGCATGTCCGGGATCGCGATTTTACGACACGTCAGAGTCTCGGAGTCTCGATGGCGCACGTTTTCCTGTTTTTCATTAGGAATCATCTCACGGCGCAAACGTCAAAGAAGCAACAGGCGACTGGAGCGCCAGTAACGCTGCGCCGCCACGATCGACCGATCATTCAAAATTGGAACTCAATTCGTAAACAGTGCTGCTGCCTCGGCCGAGCAAACCTAACCTAAGAGGGGCCACGTCGTCGCGTTCCCGAGGTCCGGGCCGTTCCGGAAAGTAAAATTAACCTCAAAACCTACCTAACGGGTGCACCGCTACGGGCGAAACGTTATACGTGACTCAGTTTGGCCCGGCGTTGTCGCGCTCACGATATATCGCTAATCGAGCGCCAGTCCCTCGATTAGCTCGACCCTGATTCATCGTCGTCGACAATCGGTGAGCGCTGCTTCGATTCTTACGAGGGCCGAAGCGAACGCATAATTCATTTTCTGCGAAATCCCGTCGCCATCGGTCTCTCCTCTCTTTCTTCCTAAGTCTAATGACCTCTAAAATCATATCGCGGCGTGCCACCGAAAGGGCGTAGACCCGCGCATATCGATTCATCGCGCCGCTAGTAACGCCGCGGCGTTCCGAGGAACTAGCGCGCCATTTCCTCCGATTCGGTCGGCAACGTAGATTTCGCCGCGCCCTCCCGAGCGGCGAATTTAAAGGCGCGCGATTCAAAAGCCCGTTCTGTACGAGTTCGTGGAAATTGTTGGGAAATTCTTGAATAATTATTTTACGCTGTCAACCGTGGCGGGGATTTTTTTTCGAGGCTCTTGGGGATGGCTCAGGTGACGCCGGAAGGTTTCCTTCGGGCTTAAAGTGAGGTTTGCTCGTTTTAGGTTTCCGTAGGAGGCGACAATGGCATGGCAGAGTCCTCCGACCGGATGGACCCCAGATGGGCCGCAGATGGGAGCTCCCGGGGGGCCCGGCATGCCCATGTCGATGCCCATGCCCATGCCCATCACCTATCAGCCAGGAATGGGCCCTCCACCAGGTATGGCTCCCCCGGGGGTGCCGATGGCACCTCCACCCTACCCGGTTCCAACTGCACCGCCGCTGCACCAAGGAGACCTGGCCCTTCCACCAGGTGAATGCAACCAACTCCTCTTTCCCAGACAATTTGCAATCCGGCTAGAAAATTAATAAAACCGAGCGGAAGGTTTGAATTCCCGGGAATTCCTGATTTTTTTTCCTTTGACTATTCCGCTGGCGGTAAGAAAGAAAAAAAAAATCAAAATTCAATCCCAATCGATTTTTCAAACATATAAAGGAATTGAAAAATTATTCCCACGCGGGAGTGAGCTTGTGGGAAAAATCAGGTGTGAAAGGAAATGGAAAATCCGCCGAAAATTGAATCCCTCCGTCATGGTGACCATTGATAAGTATTATCGTGGCCCACTTTTCTTCCCGCTGCAGTGTTAACGAAGAGGTCTATGGGTACTGTTTGCTAAATGACGTTCAAGTAGATAATGATTGCCAACGTTTAAGGACCGGGTACAGTCTCTGTTTGGGTCTCCTCGCCTGTGTCTCGTATCGTGGTGTTATCTGAGTGCGTAAACTTTGAAACGGCGCGATGGTATCGGAAAGATACCTCGTACCTAGTATCGATCGTGATTTTCGACAGTTCGCGTTATTCCCCTCTCATAGAGTGGTATTTCCTCGAGAAAGTGCCTCCGAGACTGAAAATGCAGTTTTACTTTTTTTTTTTTATCCACGTCTCGTAAGAAACTTTAGTAGACTATTATTTCCTTATCTCGTGTAAAGACCGCCTTATCAGCCAGGGCTTACCGATCAGCTGGCCGTGGAACGGCTCGTTTTTCTCGGTTTTGGGAATCCTCGATATTAATTTTTTTTTTGCTTTTTCCTTGTACACAGGAAACTCGAGTAGAAACGGAAACGAGCGGATCATTAGCGGGTACAAGTGCGTAGGTGCTTGGACGCCATTACCGGCTTAATTGACCTTAAGTACGACAATATGCCAAGTGCCGAATTCGTCCCCTGTTTGTTCTAAGGAAATCAACGGAATCGTTATCCTGGAGCGAATGCGAATCTCCTTGAGAGGTGTAATCCAACTATTCCCGGGAGTTTATTTACGCGCTATTGAATGTATCCGTGAAACTTTAGAAGTATCGACATCCGCCCGATCGGTGTTGACGACGATCGCGGAGACCTCCGTAGAGGAGGAAGAATTTATCGCCGCGGAAAGGTTCGTCGAGATAATTTTTCATTATTGGTCGTGTCGTTGGGAGGGTCGCTTTCGTATCGGCACGACGCTCCTCGTGTTTAACTAGAAAGAATAAAAGGAAATAACAAAAGAGAGGCCGCGATTACTCCGGGGAGGGACTCCGCTTCTTGGACAACACCGGGGACTTATCGTCACTTTCGAGCTGGACGAGGCTGGACGCGTAATTCCTCGAGGCCGTGGACATTATAGTAAAATCGGTTGGACATCTCTGAAAAAAGAAAGAAAAATCATCCCACGAGTGTTTCCACCAGCGGATGTTTTTTCCCGCAATTCTTTCCTACGTAATATCGAGGTTTCGTAATTAATCTTCCGGTCTTGAAAATTACGTTTAAGTTCCCGAGATGTCTGCAATCGGGGCTCGATAAAGCGCGGATGTTATTAATCCAAAATGTCCTCGCCGAGGGGAGTTCAATGACTGTTCGGTGATGTGCGGAGTGGCCGGTGTAAAGTGCGGTCGATCTGGGATTTTATCGAGGGGATAGTTTTCCTTAGGGGAGGAAATAATCATACGAAATTTCATCTAGGAGGCACTTTCCATGATAGTTAATAAAAGAGAAGAGACCGTCTCGCGTAAACGGGCGATAGCTCGAGGATCAACGTTGCGTTTCGCAAACTGTCCGTTGGAAAAAATCAGGAAGAACGTGCGATGGAAACCGAGTATTTCGAGACATCTTGGAGGGCCAAGGTTCGACAGATTCGCAGACACGTGAGACAACTTTTAAGGGATGCGGCGAGGAGGTACAGAAAGAAGAAGGAGTACTCCAGGTTCCTCACGGAGGAGGAGCAAAGGTTGAATTTAATTCAGAGCCTGTTTAGAAATTAAAAATCCCTGTCCACTGCCCTGATAATAGGCTCTACCTTTCAAGAATCTCGTTTAGTTTGTAAGATTGGACAAGTGAAGCGATCATTGACTTGTAATTATTGCTTTTATTCAGGTGGCTGGCCCGCGCCGAGTATGAGTTGTCCACCAGGGTTGGAATTCCTTACTACCCTTGATCAGCTGTTCGTGGATCAGAAGGTGGAAGTGCTGGAAGGTTGGTAATGCCGGAAGATATACTCAGAGGACATTAGCTCCCTAATTATCATTCTAATACGTTAATTTCTTATCCAAACGCGGTGCAAAGTCTACTGAAGAATTTCCCTTGATGGCAGCTTTCACGGGTTGGGAAACGGAGAACCGATATGTGGTCAAGGATATAAGAGGCATGCCCGTCTATTACGTGTCCGAAGATTCGAACGTTTGCTCCCGCTGTTTCTGCGGAAAGTATCGGCCCTGTGAAATCAAAGTCGCGGACAACAGTCGGAAGGAGGTGTTGCGGTTTTCGCGGCCCTTGAGGTGCGCCAGCTGCTGGTGCCCCTGTTTGTTGCAGGTAACGCGTAGTTTAAATTAATTCCGACCTTTTCTTTTAAACCATACGATGAAATTGGATTTCCCGTTTCCCAGGAACTGGAAGTGTACTCCAACGGGATACCGATTGGCTCGGTGGTCCAAAACTGGAACCCCCTGCGCCCGTCCTTCGACATCCTCGATGCAACCGGAGACACGGTGCTGCAGATAAGAGGCCCCATTTGTATCCTATGTTGCGACGTTAATTTCGAGGTAAGCACGTTAATTAAATATCCGCAAAGTACCCGAAAATTCGGTGAAAAAAAATAATTCCCTCACGAGTTATCTCGTCTTCACAGGTGAAGTCCAGAGACGGCGATCGTCGAGTGGGACGAATCTCGAAGAAGTGGTCTGGAATAGGTCGGGAATTTTTCACCGACTCGGACTTGTTCGGAATAAGTTTCCCAGGGGATTTGGACGTGAAGGTAAAAGCCGTCCTTCTTGGAGCCTGCATTCTAATAGTAAGTGTATTAGCGCCTTTCACGTTATAGAGAAAGAATTCTCGAGCTACCCTGTTTAAAGAACGCCCGATTAAATCCACTTCCTCCTCCAGGACTTCATGTACTTCGAGGGGAACAAGAAAGCCGAGCTATAATGGTGCCGAGTTACTTGAGCGTTTCGTCCTGCCGAAAGCATCATTCTGAGAAATGATTCGGCCATCCTGGGAGTCCTTGATGGACGTGGACAGGAATCTTCGTCCGCCTCCGGGAGGTCCAGAAATGGGGTCCACTAGCTTTCTATGTCGTCCTAAACTCGTCACGCCGGAAACCGACCTTTTATATTTTCTAACCACGTCGGTTCCTAGGCCTATACTCTCCGGAGGTCGCACAAATACGCCAAAAAAAGAAAAGGGAAAAGTAAAGTTTGTCGTCCAAAGACTGCCCTTACCCTGTACATAATCTACGCGGGTATAGCTTAGCTTCTACGTCTAAAAGTGATACGGAACAACGCTACTTCGGGTGTCTACCTACGAACATTAAATACGCACATCACGGAGCGACCACCTAGGTCCTCGTATTTATACCAGGTTTCGAGTTGTACGAATTTAAAGGGATCCTACTCCATGGGGTAGGTTTAGTTTTTAGTCGCGTTACTAACGGCACGATGTTAATTAATACCTGTTCATAGATTTAAGTGCATGACGAGTGTTCGAAGGCTTTCCGATCTGCGTTCACGCCTTCTCGAGTTCTACGATCTGATATACGTAATAAACTATGTTTCTTTAGATCAAGGTTTACTTCGTTTCGTGCACCGTCCGCCATCACTTGTTTGGCTTGTCTCGGTTGATTCCATTGAGATGAGGAGGATTCCTGACTTGAATCGCTCGTATTCTCAACCCAGGGCAGCCCAGAAAGCGATCGCGCGACCTGGCCCGTGAGCAATTTCACCTCTGCTTAGGATCGGGTTAGAAGAGTACAAACTTGGCATTATAGGGCACGTCGAAAGGACCATTGTCTCTTGAACGTCTCGCAGAGTGGCCTAGTCTGGGTATTGACCGAAGTTGGCTCGGCTTCTCAAGTGTATGTCTTTTTATTCGTGTTCTAAACTTGAATGTCATACATGTGGCTGTCGAGTCGTGATCGACTTCTGCAGCGCGCGGGCGAGCGCATCCATACACCAGGTGTTTCGGCCTGTAAAAAAGACGGCGAGGGAGAACAATAGGAAAATAATATCACGACGTATCCGTTATATATCTCGCGGTTTCCTCCTCATAATCGGACTAGAAGACCGTTGCGCTGCAGAGCTCTCTACCGTACTACTGTCCCATCAAGGTTGAAGCGGTCGCCGGTGAAATTTACATCGCTTAACGTTTCTCTCCCTCTTTTTTTTTTCCCTTCTTTTTCTTTTCTTTCCCTCGGCTTATATATATCCTCTATTCGCGAATAAGATCACATTGTTGGGCAGCACTAGGCGGGCGATGGCGAGCTGTTACGTATCGGTAATATATTACCAATTGATACAACGTTAATAAAAGCAAACACGAAAAGGCAGGCTAACACCTTGACGAGAAATACTGCGCGTATACTGTCCAGTACATCGTTAAAAAAGGAAACGAAGAGGAAATAAAAGCAGCAGCGATAACTGATCCTCGCAATTAAGGGGGGAAAAAAAAAATAACAAATGGAGAATACCGAAAAGGAAAATACGCAAAAAGGAAGGAAACCAAAATACTGACGATACAATGCACGTTGTGCAGTTACAAGCTGCTCGGTTTGCTTCTCCCTTTCTCTCTCTCTCTCTCTCTTTTGTTTCTCTCGCGACGTATTCCCCGTATGCGTTAATAAAAAAGGAACTCGTTATAACGTAACTCGAGATAGCCGTGGTCGCGCGTTTTGTCATCCGCGCATTCTGCGCTCTTTGCAAACGGAAGGACGAGCCGCAGCATCGGCGCCCGAAACGGAAGCGTTTCCTCGGGGACGATTTCCCTTATTCACCCCTTTCCTAGATTCCCACCGTGTCCCGATCCACTCCCAGGCTAAACCGGATAAAAACCAAGTCGACCGATCGAGCGAATCATCGCGAGAGCCGCTCGAGTCGGCAGATCTCGGCGTGATAGAAATTCGCCTACATCGTTCTCGAGGAAACGCGACTCCGAGGACGTCTTCGCGAACATGGACGCCTCTGCTTCAGGGTCAAATCTGGGAACCAAGTGCCGTCGACGAGCGGCCGAAGTTGAAGCTCGTCCTGGGTTAACCAATCGGCATTCTCTCTCCGATTCTCTTTCTTTTTTTCTCTCTTCAGGGATGCGTAGCGTCGACGCGTGACAACAACGTGAAGGGGACGAACGAAGAAGGGTTGTTCTCGGTGTGTAAGGGCGAAGGTCGACACGAGAGGCCGCTTAGAGCTCCTTCTCGATCTTGATGAGCTCGGCGATGCCGTCGTGCATCTCCTTGACGGCCTGGTACTCGGTCAAGCCCAGGCGCCGCTTGTTCGAGATGTCGTAGATCCCGCCCTCGGCCTCGGTGTGCTCGCCTCGCGTTCCTCTGACCTGCAGGTTGAACTTGCTTGCCACCTCCTCGAGCTTGGCCTTGTTCGCCGCGAGCTTGGGCACCTTGATGTGCACCGACGCGCGGACGGTCGTGCCCAGGTTCGTCGGACAGAAGGTCAGGAAACCGAGGCGATCGTTGTGGGAGAAGGGCAGCCGCTTCTCGATATCGTTCACCGCGGTGACGAGACGACGATAGACCTGGAACGCCACGAAGAGCGATTAGAGGCGATGAAAAAGGATCTTTATGTCCAGGACATAACGCGAGACCGACCTGGCCGAGGTCACCGCCCTGCTGCATGGAGATGATGCGCAGATGGTCCTCCTCGTTGCACCAGACCAGGAAGGTCTTGGCATCGTTGTGGAAGATGCCACGTCCGGTGGGCCAGAAGCGGCAGGCGTTGGCGGTCTGCAGGAATCGGTCGCCCTCCTTGAAGAGGAAGTGGTCGTCGATCAGCTTCTGCTGCACCTCCTTGCTCATCCCGGTCAGGGGGTAGAACGTTCCCTTGAGCTCGCCCTCCAGGCCGGACAGGGTGCTCGACACCTTCTCCTCCATCTCCTTGTACTGGGCCTCGGTCAACAAGGGGTTGAAGGGGTAGCCCTCCAAGGAGCGTCCGCAGCGCACGCGGGTGGAGACGATGAAATCGCCCTAAAAAATGAAACCTCATGACATCGACCTAAAACACAACGTTTATGGGAAGGGGACTCGGCAAGGATCCTTACGCTAGGGTCCAGATTTCCAAGGGTGTCCACGTCGCCGAAGTCCTTGGGGGGATGCTTGTCGGTCTTCTTGAAGCCGCCATGGTAATCCTCGATGATGGGGTCGAAGAGGTCGGCGAAGACGACGTAGGACTCGGCGTCGGGGGCATAGATGCCGACTCCGGAGTCATGGTTCTCCAGGCCGGACTGGATCACGTCCAGCAGGGTGGAGCCGAAGGAGGTCTTCTTGGTCTTGAGCTGGTCGAAGATCTCCTTGGTCAGGTACTTCTTCAGCAGAGACTTGCTATCCGAAGCGGCCAACTTGGCATAGCCGGTCTCCAGCTTGTCCAGCACTGCTTGGTCGACCATGTTGCTTTTCTTGCTGCAAACGTCATGCCGGAATTAATTATACGAGCCGATAACTACTCAACATCGATGACGGACATTAGAGGATTTTATCGAGATTTTTACAAGACTCGCCATATATAAAAAAAAAAAAAAATACATTTCCCTGGAGTATCTCCTACTATTATGGGAATAATTAATAGCATCGGTCTCGTAATTTCGAAAACAGTAAAATCGATCTTCCGGGCATCGGACTTTCCCAGGGAAATAAAAATCTGCAAAAAGGAGCTCTCAACCGACGTGTAATATCTCCATGCGATGATACACCATGGCCCGTAATTAGTCCTGGAAAATGTCTTTACTTTGAATCCCCTTCCTTGTATCCGTCCCCCGGGTAATTTATTTCATTTCAATTAGACTGCTAGGAGTGCAACTGAAAGCCGGCTGATCCTGCTCGAGTTAAGCTCATCGGAAGGATAATTCCGTCCATCGGAATTACTCGGAGCAATGCACCATCGCCGAGAAAATAAACAGCGAGACGACTCGACCGGTACCGCGATTTGCGATGCACTTGCAGCTGCATAACGCATGTTAAAGCGTTTAATAACTCTCAGAGGAACACGGCCAGGAAGAAAGGGGCCCTCGCGATCTCGATTTCTCGATCACTTTCCTTCAAAGAAATTCATCGCTTGCCACTTCATTAATTCCTTCCCAATTTTAAGAGCGACAATTCTACAAATTGCGCACGTCGCCCATGCAAGAGAAGTAAGTAAAGGCTCGACTGGAATTCGCGCCTCGCATCGGCGTTATCACGAGTCTTATCGCGATGATCCAGCCCACTTCAGGGAATTATAAATTGCACCGCCGGTAATCGTTACCTGATATCGCCGTAAATTATATCGAGCATCGGAGCGTGGATTAGCAAGAAGGGTTTCGCAACGTAAAAAGTAACTCTCGGCCCGAGGATCCTTATCCGCGCACCCGATACCACGTAAACCGAGTAAGCGATCACGATTCCATTTTTTTTCTTCTTTCTTTATGGACGCTTCGTTTAGTCATCGAGACCCGATAATACCGGATCCATCGCCGAGATATCGCATTTCCAGGCAAAGGAAGTGAGATGCGGTTCATCCACATTTAATGTCCAAAAAAAAAAACAAATGCATCACCTAGTATTGATAACACATAAATGCTGCAAATCATAAAGACGCACTTTGCTGATGATATAGAATTATAGATAGTCATTGCGATAATTCGAGATACAGGTGTCGCAGATTTTGAGGGATCGATAAGCGCCGATAGCGAGGCCGGGTTTACCGGCACTTTGCATCGTCTCGTGTACCGATTGAAGAGTTTAATATTCGTAATAAAAGAGCCGAAAATCACTCGAGGGAGATAAGAGTGGAATAATCAGTCCAATTTCTCGTCCTTGTTTCTCGTGCGAAGCTGATTCGAGGCAGCCGACCGAGAGATAATCCAATATCGCGCCCGGCCGAATGGAGATTTCAATGATGGATGAAGTAATATACATAACTGCTCCCCGGGAAATAATCCGCACCTCTTTCTCCGGCTCTTTTCTCTTCCGACGACAAATTGAAAAAGGAAAAAATCCGGCAAACTTTAATCCCCCGTTTCCGCGACCCCGTGCAAATTAGGGGCATTAACAGGTACCTAATGAAAAGCCACGAGAAACACGCAGGGGGAGAGAGAACAAGAGGAAATAGGAGGGAAGCGGTTACAGGAAAGATTTATCGCCCTTTCGTGCCCGGCGGCAACGCTAGGTGCCCTTTCAAGATGGCTTCTTTATCGGCGTAGAACTCGAAAGCCACATCTGAGTTTCGCGATGCACCTGCTCCAAAAATGAGTATCCGATTTTTCTAAAACAAAAAGAAAATAACCAAAAAACCGAAAATAAGGTGCAAAGTACCCCTATAAAAAAAAACTTCCAATTTACGATTTTTCGGATGTTTAGCATTTTTTTTTTTTCAGCGATCGAATCGAATAATCAATCGAACCGATTACAGGCGATCGTGGGTGGGTTCTCTGGGAGTTGCAGGCGAAACCGGAAGTGGCCACGGTGCATACGAATAAATCTCCACCGAGGAAGGAAGGAAGAGAGCGTAACTTCCGGTCCTCACCGACCGGCCATCGCGAAGGCCACGAATGACGATTACATACGATTGTCGAATAAAATTGGACGATTTCCTTTTGTTATTAATCTACCCATAGGTACTAGTCTACGAATAGAAGATATGGAAATTCCGTAGAAGTTGTCCTTATTTTTATCAAATGAAAATTCCGAACTAGAAACGACGAATGCATCCCAGGCTCCGTTTAAATGGCCGGAAAGCTGCTTTATCTTCCGCAGTTACATTCGGCGTCGAGCATTCGACCGTAAATTCCTCTTTAACGAGTCACTGACCCATTGCGTAGGAGTAACGACTCGAGAAAATCGAAGTCGACGTGATTGCTCGCCACGGCGAGTTCCACCGCAAGGAGGGTCGTTGAATTTCGAAAATCTCGTGGCTAATTAATCGGCACCTTGTATCCAAAGGAGATTCCCCATCTCTCGAAGATATTCGCCATGGCGTAACATAAACTCGATTATTTATTGCTAAATTCCAACCTCGGCGCGCCCACGACAGGCCCCTTCGAAAAATCATTCCGTCGAGGTCCGCGCCTCGGCGACCCATACAGGGCCAAAAAATTGCAGCCGCTGGCCAAATTACTTACGCGTTTTATAAATAAATATCAATTCGAAGCAATAGTATTTTTCAAACCCACAGTGAAGGTGCACACCATAAAATAGGCATTTCAACGGAATTAATGAGAAACGTCTTACGCGTTCCGCATTTATAAAACGGAAAAAAAAAAAATCACGCTTCAATCACTTCCATAGGATCATCCGTGTTCGGTAGAATCCCTCTAGCGTGCTTGTTGCATTTCCCCGGCGCACTAATAAATTGGCCGTCGACTGTAATTTCCAGTACTCGCCCTGCTCGAAGGGTACGTACTCGTCTTTCGAAGCGTTATCCTTCGAGGTGCACCCGCCCATGTTGGCCGGTCCCCGAATCTCGGGTCGCAGAATCCGGGCAGGGCCTCACCGGGGATCCGATCCCTCCTCGCTCCGGGTAATTCGGAGCTCGCTCTTACCAAGTAGAAATATATCACAAGGGCGGGCCGGCAGGCCCGGCCGAATAATCGTAGAAAAGTACTTTCGGTCGAGGGGGGTCGCTCAAAAGAGTGCCTCCCTCCGGGTCGCTTCCGGGCTCGGAAGGGCGGGGTGTGCGTGTAAACGTATCAAAGTGCCGCGAGGAGAATAATTCCCAGGTCTCGGTGCGCGCCAGGAGTACGTCCCGGTCCCGAGTCGAGGGGTACCCTGGATCGCGCGAGGTGCGCGCCAGATGCGCCAGTTGCGCAGGGGTCCCAGGTGCCCTTTCGCGGGCCCTACGGGCGGGCCCGGGGTCACGTGTCAAAATGCGGGCGCGGGCCGGTCCCTTGCCGGTCGCTCGGCAGTCGCGCGCGGGCCGTCGTCGGGGGCGGTCGCGGGTCCTCTCGGGGGGGGGTGGCGTCGCGTGCTCTCTCCGGAGGGTCCTGGCCGGCCGGCGAGAGATCGAACTTGCGAGCTGGCGTGACCGCGAGGTGCGATGCGAACGCTACAGTCTCTACGCTATCACTAAACAGGAGGCATTCTGCGTGCCGCGCGGGCCTCTCTCTCTCGCTCTCTCTCGTCCCCGCCGTTTCTTTCTCTCTCTCCCGCCCTCTCGCTCCCGCGCCCGCGCCCTCTCCCTCGCGAGCGCTCCCCTCCCCTTCAGGGTGGGGCACACCGGCGTCCCGCACGGAAGGATACCCGGTCGATAACACGCACCTACACCCACCCGCGCCCGGCTCGCGCGCACGCACACCCCGCACACCCGCGGGTGCGCGCGCGGGCGAGCCCCGAAGCAGGACCCGGTGGACGAGGACCCGCCCGACGCCGGACGTCCCGCCGCGATGCCGAGAGCACTAAACGGGATTGCTCGTAGGTGATAATTCGAAATAAAAAAAAAATGCAGGATATTACAAGAGAATTTTCTTTCTTGAAATGAATTGCTCGACGGTGAAAATTCGGGGAGGAAGGAAAATTAAGGATATTAAATGGGGATTTTCTTAACAGGATGTTCCGCCAAGACGTTCGGGATCTCACGCGTGCGTAAACGCCCGTAGACGAAGGAAAGGAGCTCTCCTTCTTCCGCTCCGAGCTATTCCCGACCGGCCATTTCGCCGCTCTGTTTGGCGCCGGGCGTAGCTTCAATATTCACGATTCGTTTTCTCCGGGCCCGAGGAAAGTCGGATTTCCCGACGGCCCAGAAATCCGCTCCGATTTTCCTCCCCGGGATTGAGAAATCGCGAGAAATCAGGGAAAATGCCGAAAAGCGCCGATCGCGTGCCGGCTAGAGATGAAAAAGTAAAGGCCGGTCCCCGGGGCCATGGCGGCCCCTTTGACGGGCTCGGGGAAAACGAAGTGGCGAAAACGACTCGGAATGAAGTTACGCGTCTCTCGCCTCCACGGGGCCGGGACAATGCACGGTGGATAACCCTCGCCAGCTTTGTGTCGAGACAGATTCAGAGGGGTCGTAATCGTCCGCCGAATCCACCCCATCGGGACGTGATCGATGATCCGACCGTGGCACGTATCACAGAGAAAAAAGAGAAAAAAAAAATGAAAACGCGTTTCCGGACACGCGGGGGCAGTTCTTCGTATATTTTATGTCCCATTGTCATGACGGTCAACAAATATGTGAATCCTCCAGATTGCGAATCGAGTTCTCGTAAGGGATGCTTATCAACGGCTTATAACATAAGGTTATGTCAAGGGTCCCAAGGGGTTGTAATCGGCCCCTTGTAATTCACCCACCGCGAGGAAATCCACGATCCACGACTCGCGCTACACTTGAACGATGCATCGCCGACAAAAAATATAAATGTCACGCTTGTTACGCGCATGAGGGGGCAATCCCGCTCCGCAATATCGTAATGGAGCCCCGTGTCCAGAAAAGGGACCAAATCGAATCCGGTACAATGGTCGTGATTCATTGTCGCTCCCAATCGTAAATTTCTCGACGCGCGGGATGCATTCTCCAATTAATTCCCAATTTACCCTCGATGCTCCGGTAATAGAATCCCCCTTGGTAAAAACCACCGGCGGAGGTAACGGAAATAAGTTCGACTTTAACGCGTGTACCTCCGTGGAGATGGTTTCTTCGGGGACATATTTCGGTCGTAAAGGACGTTTTACGTCTTAATCGAGGATCCTAGCTGCGTGTAAACTCCTTACGTGCTCTCTTTACGGCCCTTTCGATAGACGCGGTGGGTTTTAAAAATGCGGAATAAAGGGAAAAAAGAAGCCCATTTATTTCCCGACCCTCCGGCGTCCCTTCGAAATCCTCTCTAGAGGCTGCGGCTCGAGAAGTGACTCCTGTACCTCGCCTATTGTCTTTAATCTTTATTGCAGATATTTACAGGAGTCCTCCCCCTACGTCTCTCGAGCATTATTCGTTTTGCGAGTGTTTGCAGTGCCGGGCTAACGTGCACTCGAGGAGGGTCGTCAAAGCGAAACCGCGGGGGACCCTTCTGGGGCTTGCATTTTTTACGTAAAATCGTAAGTGTGCATGCACGCATGAATAATGCCTCCGGAGCCTCGCGAAAAAATTGCGGCTCGAGAGGGGAAAGAGGCGAAGTCGAATGCCTAGGTATTCGACAGGAAATTGTGGCGAGTTGAGGGAGGGAAAAAGGATAAAACGCGATCTCTAAATCGCGATCTCGAATTTTTTTTCGCGAAACTCGACGCGAATTGTAGTTATCGCTACCAAGTTGGATGTAATTCGAACAAGTGCGGGAACCCCGTCCTCGAGGTGGAGGCGCAGAGGGAAGAAGGCTGTAAGAGGCTTATTGTGTCTTGGGCTTGGGTAAGTGTCTTAAGGCGGCTTTAATGTCACACGGTTATCTCGACACCTTGCATCCTTATCAAAAGGTAACGAGACTCGTCTGCACGCGAGGCGGCGTTCATCGATCGCGTCGAATTAATGCACGCCCAAGAATCCCGACTATCATGCTCCCTAAAATGATGTCCTCGGGATCTCGAAACGCAAATATGGCGAGTCTCGACGATCGACATCGCGGCGGATTTAATACACGAATAATCAGCGATGTTCATACCGCGAGCTTCTCGAGCCCTTTGAAGCCGAGCCGCGAACGAGACAGAGAAAGAGCGAGAGTCTACCGTCATAAATCTAAAAGCGGAGTGCCCTCGCGCACTTTTTCTCCGGGCATTTCATTATACGTCTTCGCAGCCCGTGTGTCTCTTTGTAAGGACGATCTATTTCGAGGTGACATGGATTCTCCACATCGGGCCGAAATTCCAGACACGTGGTGGGCATATGCGCGAGCCACCAGGTCCAACGCCCGAGAAAGAAAGGAAAAAAATAAAATAAAAAAGAGCACCGAGAAGGGAGAAAGGGAACCTTGCCCCCGCGAACGCGGATTTCTCGTTCCCAAAAGCGGTTTCGAACTGAAGAGATCGAGCCGTTACAAATTTCCCAATCCACACATCTCGGGGCGCATCACTTATTCATAAGTCTTACGTTGCAGGTGAGGAAATGAAATTCCTCGCGCGTTACGCATTTCCGATGTACTCGGAAGTGCATTCCCTACCCGCGAATTATGCTAATAAGCTAGCTAATGCTGCCTTGCAGTGCGAGGTTTCATTGTAAAAAAAAAAAAAAAAAAAAGGTCGAGTGCGGTCTGAACGAAATCCAGACTCATCGTCATTGGCGCTACCGTGAGTCATCGAATGTAACGAGGGTTCCATAACGATGCAAACTAATGCAAACCTCCGAGTTTGCATCGTTAATTACTCGTCGACCTTCCTCGAGAGATGCAAAATCAACGTGAAGTAATTCAAACAGGCAGGGTAAGGTGCAGTCGGTTATACATTAAAAACTGCTTCAGGATCCCAATATATTTCCACGAGTTCCTCTTCTGCTCATAGAGTCCTGAAACGAGATGTCGAGAATGAGTAGAATGTCATCGACCCAAGGGACGCACCTACTCTGCGATCGGCCATTTCTCGCACGATTCGCAAGAAACCGCGTCTACTTTACCCGATTAAACTTTTTCCTCGACGCGCTCAAACCGGACAGGAAATCAACGATTTGAAGCGTGATTAGATAATCGCCTCCAGGACGGAGCGAGCGAGCTAAGAAGGAAATTAACGATTTTAAGTGCGATTGGTTGAAGCGTTAAGATTCGGCGATCCATTCGCTTATTTCTCGTGTTTTTTTTTCCCCTCGAGCATTATATATAGAAATCGTCAAAGTCATGAGTACTGCAAAAAAAAAAATCACGACTCCTCCTGGGAGGCAATTTCAAGCTGGTCGTTTGACACGTCGTTCGGAACGTTTCGTGTACACAACAGTGTCGAGCTCGTTCAATGGCTAGCGATTTATGGAGACGACGAAGCATAACGATTCGGCGCAGGCGAACGGAGGAGGAAATGAACGAGTGTAACGCGCGATTGGCCGGATGGCATCGTTTCGTCACACACCGAGCGAAGCGAGACACGCTCCGTTGATCCTCCCGGTGGATCGAGATAAATTGACCGAATTCCCGGCATTCCTCATAACTTCCACGGTCGCGAAGCTACGTCCACTAAAGCAGATCTTAATTTCCAGAAAGAGCGACGCCTCGAAAGATGTTAAAGTTCTTATTTATCAAAACTACAATTACTTTCATCTTCCAGACATCAGAGATAAATTGCGACTCGTGAAGGCGATTCAAGATGGCGCGACGGATCCTTCACCGAGCCAAAATTCCACGGTCGATGGAAAAGCCAGGCGTTTGCGTGGAATTTCTCGCGGAGAAGGAGAGAGACTTTATGTCGGTTCTAATTCGGTGCGTCCAAGAATAAAGTCCTCCCTCGACTTATCCGACGCCGGTCGTACCCTTCGCGTGTCCTTGAATTCCACCCTCGCGGCCTTGGACACGCGGAGGTCCGCGCAGTTCTCGAAGGGGCGAGGTGGGAAGATCGTTGCGACGCAGGGAGCTTGGGAACGGGAGGGCAGCGAGCGCCGCGCCCGGTGTCGCCATCCCTCAGAGACCGCGCGAACCTTAGCTCCGCTCCAACGGATAGTTACCCGCGACTCGTAACTGCCCCTCCCGAAGAGTCGATAAATACCATTCCCTGATAAATGCCAGTACGTCGACGTTATTCGAACATATTTGCGTCTAACACTGGGTTCCGATAAAGCCGGGTCTGTTTTATCGATAAGCGAGTTAGCGAGATTCCTGCCCCGTCGGTACCTTCGAGACAGTTCGTCAATTTCAACAGAGGTGTCGCCAGCATCGAGAGCGGGACGAAGAGCCTCTCGCACCTGTTCCCTTTCGGGCGTAACAAAGTGCACTAGGGCTGGCGCATCACGCAAGATAAAAATATACATAATGCCGTGCAAAATATCCTCGCAGACCC